AGGCAGTGTAGGTCCTATGGCTGTTAGAGGATGATGATAATGATCATGATGATGATGATTTACCTAATTAGCTTTAATACTGATCAGTAAATTAAAATGCAGAAGTAATGAATGAGAAAAAATGAAAAAGAAGAATGAGATTTTAAATTTGGTCCTAACCAAACAAGGTTTACTGTACAATAACTAAATAAGAACCTCCTTTTTTTAAGTCGGTTAAAAACGGCTATACTTACTCACTCATCTAATGGAAGGTTAAAACAATTCTTCTGGGTTAATGCTTCAGTTATAAAACTTAACGGCACTAAACTCTTTTGAGTCAAAGTAGCCGAGTTAGTTAAAAGTTAATTAACTTAAAATGGTCGTTAACTTGAAAAGTATAAGGTAATTAACTAGGTAAGTTCTTTGTAAGGTAGATTGTTATTTTAAATAATTATCTCTATACTAATATTATAAAGAAGAAAGATTTATAATGTTTGTAACGAATAAATTCAAAAACTGTTGGACCGATTTGAAAAATTATTTCACCATTTAATCCATATAATTTTTGCTCATTGTTTATAAGATCGTCTATTTAATCTGTCCATGTCCATGATAAGAAGTAGGTAAACTAAGTCATTAATAACCTCCTCCTTTTTTGAAGTCGGTTAAAAACAGCAGTACTTAACGTATACATATAAATTTTGAAACGAATCATGTTGTGTTTAAAAATGTATTACCTGTTTATAAATTCATTACTTTAAAAAAAATCTGGTGTGTACAGACGACAGCAGATAAAGTTGTGGGTGGCATCTTACTGTAATCTGTCTACACGATACTTTTACATCTACACTATATTACAAAGAGGAAAGATTTGACTGATAGTTTGTTTGCATTGAATAGGCTCCAAAACTACTGGGCTGATTTGGAAAATTCTTTTACCATTAGAATCCTACATTATTTCTGATGTACTTAGGCGGTACGAAATTCGCCGGGACAGGTAGTAGTTACAATTTTGCAACAAAAAAATGTGTTGATGTTCGGTCCTCTGTACTGTCATTCTATTAATTTTAAATCCACCTGATACCTCCAAGAACAAATCTCATTAAAACGGACCTCTCAACATCGACCGCTAAGTGGCGGTGCGAAAGAAATTTATGCCAATGGGGAAAAAGGCCGGATTATAAAGGCATCAATTATCGAGGCAGCTATTAGACTGCTAAGCCGATTGCCCGGATATTGGTACAGTTCATCGAGATTGCTATGAGACTTAAAGTTTTGCGTTTTATTGCCGCAGATAAAGCAATACTGAGATGGTGCCTTTGTGAGATTAAGTATTGTGAACTTCTAGTAGAATTGATTTTGAGATGCAAATGTTTTTATTTGTTTTTCATTTGATAACGTCGTCTGGATTAATTACTACGACAAAAAATACAAAACCATCTGTTTGAACTGTACATAATTTACGAGTATGTACTTAATTACAAGCTTTTTATTACTTTCACATGTCTGGTGTCTGTCGTCAAATCTTGCAACTTAAAATTGGCCCACTTCCCGGTTTCCTATTGAGCTGAAATTTTGCATACATGTGTAAGTCCGATGACAATGCAATATTATGGTACCATTGAGCTGGTCTGATGATGGAGTCGGGAGGTGGCCATAGGAACTCCTAAACAAAACGGCGGAAACTCATCGAGTTTGGGTTCGTTGGATTTGTCTTTTCGAGCACTTTAGTGTTAGATAACGTCCAGGGTCCTGAGATTAAGATATAACTAAAAAGTGTAAAATAAAATTATAATAAAAATAAACTTTTTTAAAAACAAGCTTTTATTCTGAATTTCGAAAGCTTGTAGCGCAAACAGAGAAAAAGAGGAATAAATTCCATGCGCGATACAAACTTTCGAAATTCAGAATAAAAGCTTGTTTTTAAAAAAGTTTATTTTTATTATAATTTTCATCATCATCATCATTTCTGCCAATTACAGTTAGCTGCTGGATAACTTTTTGCAATACAGCCTAATCAATCCAAAAAAATTAAGATTTATTATCTTCTTGAAGTTATCAAACCATTGGACTTCTTTAAATAATGAGAATGTGAATAAGTGACATAAAAAATAGATCTTTTTAATTTTTTTACTTGTATGCGTCTGTGAATACAGTGTTGAATAACTAGGTATACTATTTCTGAGTGTCTTCCCTGTCCCTTAAAATTTACAACACATTGTTAGCTAAATACTTCATTGCTGTAATTAAATCAATATGAAAACTTTTCGTTTCTTTGTTCCAGTTGTTAAGGACTAGGAAGTAAGCAAGATGGCGGCGTTCGTAGCAAAGCAAATGGTGGGCAACAAACTAAGCGCCGTTAAAGGTAAGATTTTGATATTTTCTGTAGGAGTAAGTCAACAGAATGTTCAAATATATGAATAACGGGACTGTTCCCACCTCTCGATCCCACAGCTGCAACTCCTGTGTAGCCAGGATCTACAGTTTGACGGAAAGTAATATCTAAACCGTAGAAGGCCAAGTGTGTAGCAGGAAAAAATCTGTCTTTTAACATGCAACAGATTCATCCGGAGAAATCACCATAAAAATGTTGTGTTTTTCCAATCAATGTATCTCACCTGTAAATGTAAGTCAGAACCTCTGGGTAAAAATTATAGGCTAATTCTTTCACTATTTTACCTAATTGGTCGGGTATAAGAGTAGTAGGAATTTTGTACAATAACTACACTTCTTAGTGGTAATATCTGTCTGTTTCTGTAACCAGTTTCAGGTAAATTTTCTGGAAAATCTCAAATATCTTTTACCTTTCGACACAAAATTCGTCATCCAAACGCCTCAAACGGCAAACTTTGAGCCCTCAAAAAACACTAATTGGTCAAATCGTCCAAAACCACGATTGCCCCAATGACCGCCACATTCCAACTGCAAAAATGACCACCTACCGTGACACCGCGTCAATTTACAAATCGTATTTAACAAAGTTGGTTTCCAAAGCGATTATCGCTCGAATTGTATCGTTTACGGTTCATAATACAGGTGCAACAAAAGTCGTGTCGACAGTCGCTTAACGACCCCGTGCCTTATTCTTATTGGGCCAATAAGCGAGTATTATGATACCTGCCCGACTCGATTTAAAAGAAAATCGCTATGATCGGCAGCAGGAGTGATGTCTCGATTTATTTCGTATTCTTCGAATGTAGATACAGCGTTTTTATCGGCAGTAAAATCGCATTTCAACATGTCTGCTACGGTTTGCGTACCTCATATGATTTAGACACACATTTTTCTACGTGAGCATAAATCGAGACGCTGTTATATTTATGTTTTATATTAAGGTATATTGCATGATGTTTTAGTAGAGTTTAAGTATATTTAGATCAATGGAAAGACGACTTCAAGAAGATAACTGGTAGATAAAAGTGGGAAATTGTCTTCCAATCCAATTTACAGGCTTCTTATTGGAAGGAACAAAAATATACCCTACTAATAATAAATGCCAAAGTTTGTGTGAATGTGTCGATATATTCCGTATGTTTGTTACACTTTTAAACTAAAACTACTGAACGGATTTTGATGAAATTTTACAGTATTATTGTTCATACATCAGAATAACATACAAACTATAATTTATAATGATCTCTGATAAATTGGCAAGAAGGTAATAAATTATACTAAAATAAACACCCAGCGTTTTATACAAAATCTGTAAAAAGCCGTCATCCCAAACCACAGCGACGGCAATTAATTTGATCTGCAATTAACAAAGAGTTCTCTCATCCGGCAATAAATAAAAAAGATTTCGCCGACTCCCCACCTCCCCAACTCCCCACTTCCATCTCCCCGCTTAGCGTTTACCGCAGATTTCCCATGGGCCGCGAAATACGCTGTCGCGAATTTAAGTTATAAGCATAACATCGGACTAATTAAGATGATATTTTTATTTATCGTTTATATTAATTATATTTTACGACAAAAATATAACGGACAGGTTGCCAAAAATTGTTATTGGATTTTTGAACACTTATAAAATTTAGAGAATTTGTGCTCTTTATTTAATTACTTTCTCTTTGATGGTAGGTACATAATTTGAAATATTTTAAGTTCAATACAAGTTTTACAATAATCTATTTTTTACTTGACTGCACCAGAAGGATGGTTATGTTTTTTTAGATAGGTACCTACTTAATTCCTGATCAGGGTTCTGTTTCTTCTGGGGTGGGTATATTATAGCATAAATTAATAATACAATTAAATTTTAATACATTTACTTTATTTAATATTTCATTAATTTGTAAAGACTAATTATAGTTAAAATAATCTTAATAATCTATTAAAAGTATTAAAGCGAAGAAAATGGAAGACATACGATTTAGATAAAGGAAAATATTGCAATACATTATTTACATTTCACATTATTATCACTTATCAATATTAAATCACGATTAGGTATCCAATTTATAAAATCTTACAATAATTATTAAATAAACTTATTTCTATAAACCTCAATATTTTACTGGTCTTTTATTGCATTATTTGAAAACTCAACCTGACCCTCTGAACCAGGTATAGATACAGTCAGTATCAAATATTTCGTGACACCCAAAGTAGCCAAAAAGTTCGCAACACGTCTTTGTTACAAATGGAATAAGGTTGTGTTCTAAACTTGGCCACTTTGGGTGTCACGAACTATTTGACGCTGACTGTACTGGGTCAATACTCGAGTAGAACAGCTATAGTCTGGTCTGCGAGCACGTAGAATTTTGTCCAATGACCCCAAGCTACCCATCCTTATCGCTCGCGCGTAATTATGTTGCTGTCGCGCTCGCACACTCACTGCGGCCGCCGGTCGCACGCGGTAATTACGCGCGAGCGATAAGGATGGGTAGCTTGGGGTCATTGAACAAAATTCTACGTGCTCACAGACCGGGCTTTACACACTTTGCATACAAGCACCACAGTTTAAAAATATGTTTTCTAACTGGCCGTTTACAAAAACACCTTCACGCCTTTTAAAAATAACAAAAAAGCTACTGTAATCCAAATTCAAAATTCAAATCCTCAGATATCCATTTCCATGGAATACTCCTTGTTATGAAACAGACTAACCAAAACCTTCTTTCTCATTCCCTCGCCCTCTGCTGGGCTATACCCGTCCCGCTCGCACTCCGTGACGTATGCTCTCTTAATCTTCTCTCCCGAGTCAGGGATGAGGATCTGCTTTCTCTTTCTGGCCTTTCTGCTCCTGTCAGACGATCGCTGAGTGTAATCGTAGTTCTCTTTGTTTGACTCATCCAGGCTTAAAGGCGAGTGGAAGAGTTTCTTGCTTATGGGATGCATGTTGGGCTTTCTTACTGGCGAGTCCGTTTCCATCTGGAATGAAAGAAAGTTATGTTTAGAATTTGTTAATACGTGACTATTCCCATCTCTCGTTCCCACTGATGCAACTCCTGTGTAGCCAGAATCTACAGCTTGACCACCAATAAAAACCCAACCAGTGTAGGACAGTTTGTAATTAATCAAAAGAACATAGGAGGAGTTCGAAGTTATGGTTCGTCTTCTCTCCATTGTAAAGCGGATGACAGGTGACAAAAAAGTTTTGTATATTGTAGGTGTAAATTATTTTTAATCCTAAATGAAGGGATGTACATAACAAACCGTAGTTTATATTTTTTATTGTTTTAAGAACTAGAGTAACAGTAGCTACCAGAGCAATTACTTATACCTAAGGTCTAAAGACGTTTAGTTTCCAAAACCAATTTGAAATGAAGGCCAAATAAGCCTACAATAGACCCGAATACTATTATAAATAATCGAAAATAACTGTGCCAATAGAAATATTGCCCCAAATAAAGCAGGTTGATTCCGGGAAGGCAAATCCCACGGCTATTGTGGACTAAAATACCAACTACCTGCTCCTTTTGAGCCCGTAAGTTCTTGGGTCAAAGAAATAAGAACTATAATGGAAACTATTTGCTAATTATTACTTGTATGTAACGGGATGCATGGGTTTTGAGGACTGTTTAATAGGTAGGACTTAAACTACCTGTCTTGAAAACATATCTTTGCTTCAAGTTTTTTTGTAAAAATGTAGTTTAATTTTTACCAGTTTACTCCTAATACTCGTAATTAAAAGTTTATAAGCTATTTAGCAAACCTATAAGGTTATTGTGGACTTATTTATTTCTCCCCATAAACATACCTAAGTACGTTTGAGTTTACAAATCTACAACTTTAGAAATGATAGGATTTCCTTATAAAAAAAATTTTCAAATTAGATTTTTTGACTAACACAAAATGACCATCAACTAAAATGAGCTTGTCAAACCAAAAAAAATATCAATAAGTATCTATCACAAATAATTATAAAACAAAAATGCTTACCCTTTCAGTGTCAGGCGTGAAATCCACCGAATTGTTCAGGATATTGTTTGTAATTAACACTGTTAAGGCTTCTCTCGTCACTGTGTTCACTGGGGTTGAAAACGCTGTAGCAGCCATCTTGTTTCGGAGAGTCGATACGTGTGCGCGCGGCGGAGGTTGGTTGTGTACTGACGTCGGAGGCAGCTGAGACGGCGCAAGCGCCGGTGGGCGGTTGGATTTGTCAGTGTGGGGATGAGATAAAGATATTGGAACAAAAGAGATGTGGGCGTAGAATTATAACAATATAGATAAGAAAACCTTCAACACTATAATTTCTAACTACTGTCCCTGGGTTGTTTGTAAGACGTGGCTTTCTAGTCCAAACTAAAAAAACGCCTAAACTGTTTCAGTTGTTAATTAAAGTATGATTAATATGTGTACTTGTTTCGGAAAATCTACAATACAGCAGGACCGAATTTTGCGGGACTTTAATCGGCAAATAGCTGATATTAGCCCGTCTAGTATTAGAAAACGAATACGCATTAAATAAGCCCTAGTTATACAAATCCGTCACAGACCAACATCAACTTCAGCACTACATCTTTTGGCGAAATAAGAAAATTTATGAATACGAGATAATGTATTAACAAGCCAAACACCTTTATTTCATTTCATATTAAATATCAATTTGGATCTAATTCTATCAAAATCTTTATCATCAATTACTACCGATAAACGTTCAAGTCTTTAAATAGTTTTATGGTTAAACACATAAAATGTCAATTTAATACAATAATAGCTACTTCAATTAACGAAATATTTGGAATTTTGCGTTCGGCAGTAAATATTGGTCGTCAGTTCAGTGACATGATAAATATTGAATATTGAACATATTGGAATTTTAGTTTGCTCAGCGTAAATAAGTGCACTCTGTTCGTGCCATCATTGGGACGATAAAATTCAGCTGAAAATATGTAAGTCTATGAGTTTTAGGGGTAGCTGTTTTATTTTGAATCCTGATAATATGTGTGAAATCGCATGAAATCAACCTGAAGACAAATCAATTGGTCTCCAATTTACATTTCAAGGTGTGTGTTGTCTCTGCTTCCAAATGACTACCTTATTTCTTCGTAGGTTTAGAGTTTTGCCTATTCTAATTTAAAATTTTATGCGTGACCAAACCATTAAGTACTTTCTTAGCGATTAATTGCATGTATATGTACCTACTTAGTGTTCTGTATTTTTTGTTTAATATACCTAATGTTAAATTTGGAAAATCGTTGAAACATCACGTTACGTAAAGATGTCCAACATTGAACCGTCCCAACTACGACATTGTCAGGAGGGCGCTAATGTCAATACTGGATTATTAGTTCCGATTATGACATTTTTCTTTTTTTTTTATGCATAACAAGGCAGGTATTTGACCACAATCGCACCTGATGTTAAGTGGGATGCAGTCTAGGATGGTACATATCTGCCCTGTAAGTGCTTATTCACTCTCGCCTTGAAGAGGCCCGGATTATAGTTTTCGGGAAAGACAGCAGCAGGCAACGAATTCCAGTCCCTAGCTGTTCGCATTATAAAAGAGTCATCGAAACGCTTAGTGCGAGCTGGTGGAATGTCAACAATATAGGGATGGTACGCTATCCTGCGTCTGGTTCTCCGATGATGGAAGGGGGCTGGTGGAATTAATTCGTGTAATTCTTTCGCACATTCTCCGAAGTGTAGCCTGTAGAAAACCGATAGGGATGCTACCTTACGGCGATGGTCAAGTTCCTGGAGCGCTTCTTTAACAAGGGTAGGGCTGTCGATAAGTCTTCTGGCACGCCTTTCCACCGAATCCAAAGCAGCCAAATGTTTCTTGGCAGAGCCATCCCAAAGGTGGCAGCAGTATTCCATGCAAGGTCGGATCTGTGCTTTATAAAGCTGCAGCCTTTGCTTCTTGGAGAAGACTTCACATTATGACATTTACAGGAGGGCGCTCTATTAAAACGGGTACAACTAGCTAGCTAAGTGCTGCACGTGTGGATTGTTTGCAATGAATGCATTTGTTTCGTGAAACTAAGTAGGAAAGCGAGCGACCTGCTCGCTGCTTTTCTTATTAGTAAGTATTATTATAATGTTATTGTATTTAGCCGCCGGTGCCTTATCTTTTACTTTTGCCATCTCAATACAAATGAATACAATAGAATGCTCAGATAAAAAAAGAATTAAGACTTCTATATTCTTTAAATAATAATCGCACATTCTAAGCTTTCTTAGTTAGTACTATTGTACTTTTAAAATAGCCACATGCGTCATCCAGCTGAAAGATAAAGGTGCCACTTAATATATGAACTTGCAGAAATTCTTAGAAGTCAGATAAGCAATCGGAAAATGATGAACAAAAGGTTAAATATTAGCTTAAAGATTATTGTAAGGTCTAACAAAAATAATAATGGTTACATGTATAATCTAAATAACCCACTTACCTACTTTTTTATTTATTTATTTATTAGGTATATACAGTTGACAATCGAGTTTTATTAGTAGATACTTAAGTACACATGGTTAGTAGTTAAGAGCTAGATTGACAACCTAATTGTATACACACAGCATGATGAATAGCGACACAGAGTATAACAATGTTAAATTATAAAACAATAAAGTAATTTAAAGTTAAAGTTTCCGTTCTAATGGTTACCTTTGCGAGGCACCGAACTGAGTAAGTCTATCACTTGCCTACGAAATCTGTTGTGGTTTACGTCAAAGACATCTAAATCCTCTTCACGGCATGTCAGGTCGTCGTATAGACGACACATGCGCACCATTGGGTTGTAAAAGGAGGTGTTGTTTGTTAGCACTTGGAGTCGAAACGCTCGAGGATGTCTGGGATTGGGTCTGGCGTTAAAGTTTATATGTGATAGGAGATAAGGAGAGTCCAGATGGGAATGGACTATTTTGTGCAGATAGTATAGGTCCTGCTGTTGGCGACGGACACCCAGCGTATCCACCCGGAACTCAACCCTTCGATCATCGTAAGATGACAGTCTACGCCCATAGCCAAACTTAAAGGTTGCAATTTTAAGAGCCTTTTTTTGAACCCCTTCAATAGTATTAGAGTGAACCTGATAACAAGGCGACCACACAATAGAGCCATATTCCAGTATTGTTCTTATCAGTGTGTTAAAGAGGTAAATGAAACTGGATGGTTTACTGAATCCGAACGTCGATCTAGTGATGAAGCCAAGCATACGATATGCCCTGCCAACAATATGATCATAATGGTTTCGAAAAGTCATCTTTTCGTCGAACATGACGCCCAGGTCTTTTGCTAAGGTATTATACTGCAGAACTTGGTCATCTATTTTATACTGATACGCTACTTTCCTCTTTTTGTTAGTAAATGTGATGACAAAGCATTTGCTGATATTCAAAAACATGTAATTTTTCCTACACCATTCGGCTATTGCGTTTATATCTCTTTGCAATGCGTGGCAGTCAGATTCAGTTTTTATAATGTTGTAAACTTTAAGATCGTCGGCATAAAGCAAACATGGGCAGGACAAGTTTTGGGTAAGGTCGTTAATAAAGATGTTAAAGAATAAGGGTCCCAGGTGGGAGCCCTGAGGCACTCCAGATTTGATAGAAATAGACGAAGACTGGTGACCCTTGACTGTTACAAGTTGGCTACGGTTGAGAAGGTAATATTGTATCCAGCGCAGTAGACATCCATTAATACCAAAAGACTCAATCTTCCGACAGAGAATAGTGTGGTTCAATTCCTACTGTAAATATTGTGATGAATGTGATTGTGAATTCCTTTGTTTGTATGTATGCTATGTATTTAACGTCTATATATTATACAAATAGATCCCTTAAGTCAGACTTTATGAAAATAATTAAAATATTAAAAATAGTGCGTTAACTAATTTGTTCTTTAGCAGCAAATAAAAGGAAATTCTGTCAAATGTCATTTATTCTAAGATCATTAAGAATTATAATATTGTTGTCATATTAAATGTAAAAATTATCATTACAATAGTAATTATTATGAATGGAAATACATTTCTATAATAATGAAAACTGATTCGAAATTAAACTACTAATTCTAAAATTAAAATAATAAAAGCATAGTCGCTTTATCGCTTTAGTCAAATCATATAAAAAGTTGATTAAATCTTCCTGAATTTGTTCAATTCATTCATTTTAGCCAGGCTGGCGTCGAAAAACTCCTGGCTGCTGAAAGATATGGTTGCCACAACCTTTGGCGCCGGTCTGGTTACAGCTAAGGTCTCCACTGACCTGGATCTTTGTCCGTGCTGACTTTGAGAGTTGTAATACTTCACAAACTCCTCAACATTGGGAGTCAACGGCGAGTACGAGTTAGCCCTGGAGTTTGACGACGGCATTTCAAAAGATTTGAAGAACTCTTGAGTGGAACTGTACTTCCCGTCCTCAATGTTGCTTCTGTTTACATTCTCCTTGTTTTTCTTATTCTTTTTGCTTTTCTTCTTCGGACTGGAGGTGGCTGGTGGAACGCCAAGGAGCATCTTCAACTGGGCTGTTTCGTCCGAATTCATATTATCAGTCTCAATTACATTTTCACTGACTGTTGTAACCGCATCGCTCTTGATATCATCTTCAACTGAAGCGTCGAGGAAGCTAAAATGCGGTCTCTGTCCGTGATATTTCAATTCCGCAGCGATCTCCAACCTTTTTATGTATGTCGAGATGGTGTGGATCGATTCCTTGAGCTGACATCTCTGTACATACTCCTTGAAGCGTTCGAGGAACTGCCTCAAAGTGCATCGGTTGGTCTTGCAGTGTCTCCGGATGATTTGGCTGGTGTGGAGTATTTCGGCAGTAGTGACGCCGGTCTGTTTGATGTCGTTGAAGCCTTCAAGTTTGAAGATGCACTTCTCATTCTTGATAGATTCGAGTTTCTTTATGTAGTATGGGTCGATGGGTTCCTTGGAGTAGAGCTTGGGAAAATGCGTTTCGAGGAAGGGGGAGGTGGGGGGCGGGGTGAGGAACATGTTGAACTCGTGGTGACGGCTTATGGCGCGCTGCGATGAGGGGAGTTTGTCCTCCTGGAAAAAGATAAAAAAATTCATGGTTATTCCAGAGAACTGTCCGATTTTTTTGAGAAAATTGTGTCTTTGAAATGATGGCTTCAATTTTCTCCAAAAATTGGAGATAATATCATCATCATCTTACAATTTAATTCCAAAATGCTCAGTAATGCATTTAACCAGTTTCGATTCATGATGGACAAGTTTATCGCTAATGATTATTTTGGAACCGCACGTGCTGCCGTGGTTGATTANGGGAATGGACTATTTTGTGCAGATAGTATAGGTCCTGCTGTTGGCGACGGACACCCAGCGTATCCACCCGGAACTCAACCCTTCGATCATCGTAAGATGACAGTCTACGCCCATAGCCAAACTTAAAGGTTGCAATTTTAAGAGCCTTTTTTTGAACCCCTTCAATAGTATTAGAGTGAACCTGATAACAAGGCGACCACACAATAGAGCCATATTCCAGTATTGTTCTTATCAGTGTGTTAAAGAGGTAAATGAAACTGGATGGTTTACTGAATCCGAACGTCGATCTAGTGATGAAGCCAAGCATACGATATGCCCTGCCAACAATATGATCATAATGGTTTCGAAAAGTCATCTTTTCGTCGAACATGACGCCCAGGTCTTTTGCTAAGGTATTATACTGCAGAACTTGGTCATCTATTTTATACTGATACGCTACTTTCCTCTTTTTGTTAGTAAATGTGATGACAAAGCATTTGCTGATATTAAAAAACATGTAATTTTTCCTACACCATTCGGCTATTGCGTTTATATCTCTTTGCAATGCGTGGCAGTCAGATTCAGTTTTTATAATGTTGTAAACTTTAAGATCGTCGGCATAAAGCAAACATGGGCAGGCAAATTTCCGTGCTTTTAAGCGATTTTGTGAAAAATATTATTGGCAGGTAGTTGCTAATTGCTCATAAGATAGGCCCCCTTAATTTAATTTATTGTCCGTGGTGCATAATCTTTTCTTAAAGGTTTTAAACCTTTGTTTGTCACCTGTCATCCGCTTTGCAATGGAGGGAAGTCGAACCTTAATTTCGAACTCCTCCTATGTTCTTCTGATTAATTTCGTTGCGGGTCCAATGACAGTTTAACTTTCCCCCGGGACAAACTTGGCCTTCATTGGTTGGGTTTTTGTGGCGGTCAAGCTGTAGATCCTGGCTACACAGGAGTTGCAGTGGTGGGAACGAGAGGTGGGAATAGTCCCGTTTTAAACATGGGCAGGACAAGTTTTGGGTAAGGTCGTTAATAAAGATGTTAAAGAATAAGGGTCCCAGGTGGGAGCCCTGAGGCACTCCAGATTTGATAGAAATAGATGAAGACTGGTGACCCTTGACTGTTACAAGTTGGCTACGGTTGAGAAGGTAATATTGTATCCAGCGCAGTAGACATCCATTAATACCAAAAGACTCAATCTTCCGACAGAGAATAGTGTGGTTCAATTCCTACTGTAAATATTGTGATGAATGTGATTGTGAATTCCTTTGTTTGTATGTATGCTATGTATTTAACGTCTATATATTATACAAATAGATCCCTTAAGTCAGACTTTATGAAAATAATTAAAATATTAAAAATAGTGCGTTAACTAATTTGTTCTTTAGCAGCAAATAAAAGGAAATTCTGTCAAATGTCATTTATTCTAAGATCATTAAGAATTATAATATTGTTGTCATATTAAATGTAAAAATTATCATTACAATAGTAATTATTATGAATGGAAATACATTTCTATAATAATGAAAACTGATTCGAAATTAAACTACTAATTCTAAAATTAAAATAATAAAAGCATAGTCGCTTTATCGCTTTAGTCAAATCATATAAAAAGTTGATTAAATCTTCCTGAATTTGTTCAATTCATTCATTTTAGCCAGGCTGGCGTCGAAAAACTCCTGGCTGCTGAAAGATATGGTTGCCACAACCTTTGGCGCCGGTCTGGTTACAGCTAAGGTCTCCACTGACCTGGATCTTTGTCCGTGCTGACTTTGAGAGTTGTAATACTTCACAAACTCCTCAACATTGGGAGTCAACGGCGAGTACGAGTTAGCCCTGGAGTTTGACGACGGCATTTCAAAAGATTTGAAGAACTCTTGAGTGGAACTGTACTTCCCGTCCTCAATGTTGCTTCTGTTTACATTCTCCTTGTTTTTCTTATTCTTTTTGCTTTTCTTCTTCGGACTGGAGGTGGCTGGTGGAACGCCAAGGAGCATCTTCAACTGGGCTGTTTCGTCCGAATTCATATTATCAGTCTCAATTACATTTTCACTGACTGTTGTAACCGCATCGCTCTTGATATCATCTTCAACTGAAGCGTCGAGGAAGCTAAAATGCGGTCTCTGTCCGTGATATTTCAATTCCGCAGCGATCTCCAACCTTTTTATGTATGTCGAGATGGTGTGGATCGATTCCTTGAGCTGACATCTCTGTACATACTCCTTGAAGCGTTCGAGGAACTGCCTCAAAGTGCATCGGTTGGTCTTGCAGTGTCTCCGGATGATTTGGCTGGTGTGGAGTATTTCGGCAGTAGTGACGCCGGTCTGTTTGATGTCGTTGAAGCCTTCAAGTTTGAAGATGCACTTCTCATTCTTGATAGATTCGAGTTTCTTTATGTAGTATGGGTCGATGGGTTCTTTGGAGTAGAGCTTGGGAAAATGCGTTTCGAGGAAGGGGGAGGTGGGGGGCGGGGTGAGGAACATGTTGAACTCGTGGTGACGGCTTATGGCGCGCTGCGATGAGGGGAGTTTGTCCTCCTGGAAAAAGATAAAAAAATTCATGGTTATTCCAGAGAACTGTCCGATTTTTTTGAGAAAATTGTGTCTTTGAAATGATGGCTTCAATTTTCTCCAAAAATTGGAGATAATATCATCATCATCTTACAATTTAATTCCAAAATGCTCAGTAATGCATTTAACCAGTTTCGATTCATGATGGACAAGTTTATCGCTAATGATTATTTTGGAACCGCACGTGCTGCCGTGGTTGATTAGGGTCATTCCACCGGCCAAGAAAATCACGTGTCCGGGGCCAAAAAGTACCCGAATATCATAATATTTTAGTAACAAATATTTTTATCTAATAGTATAACTTTGGTTCTTGTTGTTAAACCACAGAGATAGTTAATAATAGTTAATTAAGTAATTTAAAAAAAATCGTAAGTCGTCAAAACTTGATTACCACGACGTGTCCGCGCTCCCGATTTCGGTCGCGCCAAAAAAACATAGCGGCGCACTGTTAAGACTTGGAGCGAGATCAAACACGAAGCTCAAGACCGAATGCGATGGAGGACTGTTGTGGACGCCTTCTGTCCCATATAGGAGACATAGGACATTGAGTCACTAATATTATATGTATAATGTATGTTTTTTACTCTTTTACGCAACAACTACTTAACAGATTTTATTGAAACTTTACAATATTGTCGTTTATACATCAAAATAACAAATGGCTAGTTATAATAACATTTATTTTACCATAACTTAAAAAAAACCTTAGAAAATAAAATATTTTGTTTTATTTTTGATTACTCTGACCCCCAACTTTGATTACCCCGACCATGAAAATTTTGATGTCGCATAACTTTTTATTTCTGCTTGCTACAGATGGGCCAATATAAAAAATATGCTCGTAATAATGTCTATTTTGAAATGTTTCACCTAAACTTACTCTAAATTAAAAAATAAAAAAGGTCGGGGTAATCAACAAAATAATCCAGATCCGGAGAATGACCGATTAAGAATGACACTCTTTTAGACCGTGACGTCAGAGTCACGGAGACTAGGTAGTACGAGTAAATTAATAGGCAAGTCTCATCAAACCTAAGCTCCTTCTAAGAATAATGCCGGCTTTAAAAAAATAGCTAGCAGTACCTGTACTAGCCAAAGATCACTTTGTAACCTTTCTTTGAGAAACTCACTTCCAGCAGTGAAATGACTCACCTGTTAGAATACGCTGGATGTACATCAAGAAGATAGCTGACAGCGGGTGACTGAAGAAAGCGGGAGATTGCGCTTTGATTGGAAAAGTTTTTAGTCTTGCAGTGGTCTGCCATAGGCTAAACTGACTTACCATCGTTTCTTGGGGAGGCTTAGGTTTATTTGTGGATTCTCATTGACTGGAAGGACTCACCATGGCCTCCAGATAGTGGTAGTAGTTGCAGACATCCTTGAACTTGTTGGCCTGTCCGCAGTACATCCACACGATGAAGGCGCGCCGGACGGTGGTGTTGGAGTAGGCCGGCGACGGCGGTTCCAGCAACGAGTGAGCGCCGTCATTGATGACGGTCAGCGACGAGTCTAGCATGGCCATTGTGGCTGGAATATGGACAAACAGACTAAGTTAATACTACTAAAGAAATTTCAATAGAAAAGTCTTAATTTTCTCGAGTGGCAACCACGAGCCGGAAGACGTAGTGTGGACAGGCCTCCCACAAGGTAGACCAACGATCTGTTTGGATGCGGGCGGCGCCGGACCGGTCTTTGTGGAAATCCTTGGGGGAGGCCTTTGTCCAGCGGTGGACGTCTTTCGGCTGAAACAAACGAAGTCTTAATTTTAGTTATAACAACTAAACTAATCTAAAAGGAAGAAACATGAATTTTCACTTTGAAAAATCTGTTGCTTCGACCGGAGTCGAACCCGCAACTATTTTGCCAGTGACTGTTCTAACCATTAAGCTACAGAGAGACGGGTTACCATGTCAAATTTTTAAGTGGTGGTTACATAATTACTCAATTCTCAATCTCTGTAGTTGAGTGGTTTAGACCAGTCGCTTGGCAAAAGAAACTTCGTGAGTTCACTTCCCGTCTAAAGCAATCCAAAAGTTCAAATGAAAAAATGAGAATATCATCTAGTCACATATTAAACAGGGTGACTAGATTGATAATGAAAATACTAAGCAAGATGTTAATTGTAATTTAATTTATTAGTACTTAATAGGGATTCGAACCCACGAATATTGGTTTGGTTTGGTTTGGCATGCAAAGAACGCTGTCATTCGTTTAGTTAATTGTAATTAATTGAATTAAAAAGTTGTAGATAATATCTACCAGTTAACCATGAGCAAGTCAATCAAATTAAAATGGACACAGCAAGTTGTGATGCTTTAATAATTGTCAACATTTTATGTCCCTTGAACACATTTTTGGTTACAGAGAAAAGACTAAATAAAATAGGCGTTTTCTCAAACCATGCCATAAATGCCATGAAAATTAAAACAATTGAATGATTAAGAATCGTAAATTTTGTTCAAACTTATCTCAGTCAAAAATCAAATAAGATTAAATCAACAAAATTGATAATGAAACGACACATTTTAGCACGTTTCATCTTCAAAAACCAAACACTTCGGATTATTATAATTAAGAATACACTTAAAGTAACTATTCTAGAATTAGGTATAACCTAATATTTACTGTTAACCTCACACTACAATAACGTACAAGACCACTTGCTTTCCAATTTAAATGAATAGCTCTAATTGCAATTGTCATTTACTAGTTTAAATCCAGTTTGGCCGGATATTTATACCTATTTCAAATATACCTACCTACGATGCAAAATACCCAAACGATTTCTTAATTTATAGAACTTATTGTTGCACAATTTAAGAAGGTATCTTAATCTTAATTTTCTGTAGGCTTCTGCAAAATAACTTTTTATTATTTTAACCGACTACAACAAAAGGAGGAAGTTCTCAATTCGGCTGGTATGATTTAAATGCTATAAACTTAAAATAAAATAGTGAATTTTTCGTCCACCTTGTTGGCTGATTTTAATTATGTGAGTAAAATAATAATTATACTAGTGTTACTGTATAAACGAAAGTCTGTTTATAGTTTACTATGAGCCACCATAACTGCAAATGGCTCAAGCGGATATTGTTACAGTGGCTCAAAAAACATTTCTCATTTTAGATCACATGCCTTAAAATTAAATTGTAAACTTACTTAGTAAATTTAAATGAATACTTACATGCAGTAAAAAACTTATTCGCTAATTATCTCCAAAACGATTCTATCTTGGTAGAAAGAAAATGACTTACCTTTTGTCAAATAATAAACTCACTATTAGCAACTTATGTAAACACCAAATGCACAACTAGTGCTAATTAATTTCTAAAACATTGTCAATTAATATAAAATATGCAACGTAGTTTTTAAACGTTAAAATTTTAAACGGCCGCTCTTCACCCGAGCTCTGTCCTAAGTATTAGAACCCAATAGTCGTTTCATTTTTAAATTTACGTCAAAAACATAATCGAACTACCCTCCGTAATGGAAATGTAGTCGACCAGTTGTTGTGTACCCTCCGTTTACAATACATCATTCAAATTCAAACTAAGTGCGTTCCTTTCAACATAAATATGGATACCAACGATGCCTACGTTTCAATTTACACGTACTAAAAAACCATAAATCTGTGATTATGTCTGTAGGTTAATATGTTTTTCTAAATTATGAATGTAATGATTTGTAGCTAATATACATTTTAAGAAACAGAAAAAATATAATTAGAAGACATAATATTGTTAATTTTGCGCTGGGCGTTCCAATTCACGCTATACTTAGTTTATATTGTAATTACATTCGGTTAATAGATTGCGAAGTTATTATTACATATTTATTTACTTAGATAGTGTCTGCGAATATAACTAAAATTAGTTAATTTTTATATTAATTGTGGCCGAATTATATTTACGAGATTTGTTCAATTAATTATTGTCTATGGTGCATTAGTCCAAAGATATAAAATCATATGGTTTAATCGTGAGGAAAAAATAATTTACTTACCGCTGGGTAAGCCAAATTGTAAGCGACCGTCTTTTCTCTTCTCATAATCGTGAACATCGAGAACATCACTCATCGTGAATAATCGTGATTCACAACTGACTGAGAAGAGAGACGTAAGGCATAAAGTAATTGCACTTTAAAATACCTCTTTTGTAATTTCGCAATATATTCATTACCTTATGACATTTAAGCTTGTGCAAATAATCATTAATTAACATGAACTATTATGACGTTTATTGAAAACAAAAGTGCGTCAATGGAATATTTGGTAAGGGACATAAAAAGCATCCTTTCCTTATCTACAAATATCTTCCTCTTATGCCCTTTTTCATCATCAATCCCTATTTTTAAGTGACCCTTAAACAAAATTCCTAAGTTTTACCATTTTCAAATTCAAATATTGTATTATTTCAGACTACAGTTCGTCCATGGGTTAGTACAAATGAAATATAACTTATGACTAGTGTTAATAACAGGTAGGACCATAGGGGTCACTTAAAAATTAAGGATTGATGGTGAAAACGGGCATTATTCTCTCTTTCGCCCCACTTTCGCTTCATCCAGAGAGTATTGTCTTTGGCGTGCTCGAATTAAAATTGAACCATAGATAAAATTCACTTTATCTGTGGCAAAAATTCGTTACTGCAATTTAATGCTAAATCATCATTTCGCAATCTGGAAGAGGTGCGATCTGAAGCAATTCGTTATTTCACACAACTGCTCGTGGCGTCAGGTCTTTGAACACCGTCATCATCATCATAATTTAGTTGGACTACGTATCTTTCTGGGCGAAGAAACACTTAATTCTACAGATTTTCTGCAAAACTGATATTGAAGGTAATTATTTCTTACTATCTTTTCGTATTTTTTAACAGTAACGTTATTTTAATTTATTTAGTAAATTAATTTATAATTTTTTTCTTTTCTTAACACGATGAAAATTTTATCACAAAATTTGGAATTATTTAAACATCTTAAAAGCTTAGCAAATTATAGTTTTTTCAAAATGTTCGTTTACCTTCATTAGTTTTAGATTACTTTTTTTAAAGAATATTAGCAATATTATTATAATACAAATTAAAATGACTAATAATCTCGTTAACCCTTATGTATTATTATCTAATCTTAATAATTATTTGTAGTGTACACGTCATGGGCAATGAACCACAAAATGGCGGAGTCGATTAGCAAGCTCAACTGGCAGTTGAGTGTTGGGCGGATACTGAAGGTAATATTTTTTACTATCTATTTTTAACAGTAGGTACTTATTGTTATTGGAATTTTTATTTATCACTAGCTGACCCGGCGAACTTCGTACCGCCTTAGCGTAGAGATTTTCTTAATATTTTTTTCCGTAAGAACCATCCTTGGACTTCCACAAACATTTAAAAAAAAGAATTATCGAAATCGGTTCAGCCGTTCACACGTGATGCCGTGACAACGCGAAACGGGTTTCATTTTTATATATATAGATTAAAATAAATTGTTATTTTTGTTATTCGTACTCTATAATTTGAGCTTAAGTATTTGCGGTCAAATACCTGCAAAAAAAAAGCTTAATTTTCTTGACATGATGAAAATTGTAGATATCACAAGGAATTAAATATTAAAAAAATAGAATTACTTAGCTTAAGATTTCCGCTTATTAAAATCCTTGTGGATTATGGATTTCTTATGGATTTCCGCAAAGTAAAGCCTGATTCCATTTATTTTAACAAGGAAACATTTAAATATCCAAAAGAAAGCTTAGCAACATTAAATATTACAAAATATCTGTTTCCCTTCATAAAATTTTATTAAACCTATAATAATTTTTGTAGTGAACACGTCATGTGTCATGGGCAATTAACCACAAAATGGCGGAGTGAAATTAAGAAGCTCAACTGGCAGACTGGAGTACTGAAGGTAATATTTTTTACTATCTATTTTTAACAGTATTGTTATTGGTATTTTTATTTATTATTAAAATAGATTGATATTGTTGTCATTCATACTCTGTAATTTGAGCTTAATTTTCTTGACATGATGAAAATTGATTCACAAGGAATCTTAGCAACATTTCAAAAGAAAGCTTAGCAACATTATTAATTAGGAATAATCCTTTCCTGAAATTAATATTTTGGATGTAACCTGTTTTGTACGTCATCTATACTTATAATAAATCTGTAGAGAGGTCAATTCTGTACATGAAATATATTTTCAAAATAACTATCAGGGGGTGATTAGTGATCGATACTGATGCCAAAAATGCAATCAGTAAAATTTTTGTCTGTCTGTTTGTATGTTCCTTATAGAAACAAAAACTACTTGACGGATTTTAACGAAACTTGGTACAATTTATTATTCTTCATACTCCTGGGCAGGTTTAGTATACTTAGGAATTCCCACGGGAACGGAAATTAGCGGGGAAAATCCTTTTGTATGAAAAATCTAAACTGCTTAAATTAGACGCTTGAAATGGCAATGCCAGATTTTGTATGGAAAGTGGCGTCTTTTTTTTTTNATCCACGCGTATGAAGTCGCGGGCGGCCGCTAGTAAATAAATAAATTAAATAAGTGTTACAAAAAGTCTGTTTACCGTCATTAAATATTATTTAGTTATTTATTTATACTTTTACACATAATACAGTACATGGCGGACTTAATGCCATTATCAATATTAGGAACATTAGGAAGGACATAATGAATATTATTAAACCTATACTTATTATTCTTTGCAGTGAACACGTCATGGGCAATGAACGACAAAATGACGGAGTGAATTAGCAAGCTCAACTGTTGGGTTGTAACTCCTTACGGATGGCTGAGGAGTGAAAAGGTCTTGAATAGATACCATTTGGTAAACACGCTGGACCTGACCTGGTGGACTTGGTAAACCTGGTGGGAATCAAGCTGACGGTGGACCTGGTAATCCTTGTGGGATTAAAGTTGACGGTAGACCTGGTACTCCTGGTGGGATTCAAGTTGACGGTGGACCTGGTAATCCTTGTGGGATTCAAGTTGACGGTGGTCCTGGTAATCCTTGTGGGATTCAAGCTGACGGTGGACCTGGTAATCCTTGTGGGATTCGAGCTGACCTTATGGACCTGATACTCCTGGTGGGATTCGAGCTGACGGAGGACCTGGTACTCCTGGTGGGATTCGAGCTGACCTTGTGGACCTGGTACTCCTGGTGGGATTCAAGCTGAAATGGTAGACCTGGTACTCCTGGTGGGATTCAAGCTGACCTGGTGGACCTGGTAATCCTGTACGGATTCCAAGCGACCTTCGGTTCCTTTGTTACCGTGTGTAGGAAGTTTTATGCTGACTTTTTAAGGATGTGACGATTTTTTATTTATTTTAAACATACCTACTTGTTAATCTTTTCCACTACATACATTGTTAGATAGTGCCGTGCGGTTACGGCCGTAAAGAATACTATTCCCCACTGCCAATAGGTATTAATGTAGCACGAGATGGCAATTAAAAATACAACGGCAACCAGACCCTCAGTCTCCGGTGCCCCGCTGTTACTGGCTACAGTAGCATTCAAATTGACAAGGAGGGGTTCCTAATCCCCGGAGGCGAAACGGCTACCACGACCAACGACTTCGTAGGACGTCCACCCACAAAGTGGACCAGCGACCTCATGAGCAAGGCGCTGGATACAGGCCGCTCAATTCGATCGACAAGGTGTTAAAATTAGTATTAGAATAGATTTTGATTTTTTTACTTTTTATTATTGGCTTATTTTACTTTTTATTATTTTTTAATTTTGATTATATTACATAACGCTTTTTTGTATAGGTACTTGAATTAATTTAGAGTTTTTTATTTTTAATGGGTTTTATAGCGACATTAGCGGTTTATTTTTTGTGTCAGGGGCTTTTAAACTGTTATTTTTTTATTTCATGCTTTTTGTATTTAATCGGTAATTTATGGCATTTCGGCTATTTTCTTGCGTTTCAATATACCGATATATTTAAATTAAAGTTACTGTATAATAATCAAACCATCAAACATTTCCTCTTACTTATTTCGTCTTCACGATTATTTTCTGCAAGTGTGTGAAGATTTTTCCACTTACTTATTTCTCCTTCAGGTCGGGTAAGTGAAGATAGTACTCGTAGATCTGACGGTAGAATCTGAGGAGGGACACTCCTGGTGAGGGTTCCTCCTGTGGGGGGTTGGTACCAGATGGCGTTTGGATGCGCCGGCCACGACAGGTCGATCTCGCTGTTAATCGAGCGTGGGTAATCCATGGGTGTGATTCCTTCACCCACCTCAGAAGATCGTCATAGTGTCTCTCCAGAACTGGATCAGGTTCCTGAGTGCGTCTCCTATGACTTTTGTACACTGCCCAGCGTGGCCTGGGCAGAGCTGCGGGCGGTGAAGCCTGGAAGAACCCTTGTTTCGCCCCGGAGGAAAAAGGTTGGGGCGAGCTTGGAGGACACCTACAACGGAGGCGGTTGCAGGTGACGCACTCCTTAACCTGTCTCTCATCTAACAGGAACCTCCGTATATCCTGCAGATTGAATTCTTGAAAAGAAAACTTGGTTTGAGTTCATGAAATGAAAATCTTTGTTCATTTAGACAAATAGGTACTTGTCAATATTTTCCACTACGTACGTATATTGTTAGATAGTGCCGTGTGGGGACTACTGGGGACGGCCGTAAAGAATGCAATTCCCCGCTGCCAATAGGTATTATTTTAGATTTTTTCACTTCTTTTTTTTTTCTTTAAGATTTTTTTCCGCGGGTATGTAAAGGTAGTAAATCTCGGGTAGAGCTAGAGCGTGGGTAATCCATGGGTGTGATTCCTGCACCCACCTCAGAAGATCGTCATAGTGTCTCTCCAGAACTGGATTAAGTTCTGGAGAGCGTGTCCTATGACTTTTGTACACTGCCCAGCGTAGCCTGGGCAGAGCTTCTGGCGGTGGCGGGATGACCTTGTCGTTATCGAGCCCTGAGGAGCTAGCCTGAGGGACTTCTACTCCCATATCTAACTGAAAGTAATTAATATTACCTGACCATCAATTGAGAAGGTCATGTCCGGCCCGGCGTGGGTAATGCATGGGTGTGATTCCTGCACCCACCTCAGAAGATCGTCATAGTGTCTCTCCAGAACTGGATCAAGTTCTGGAGAGCGGCTCCTATGACTTTTGTACACTGCCCAGCGTGGCCTGGGCAGAGCTTCAGGCGGTGAAGCCTCGAAGAACCCTTGTTTCGCCCCGGAGGAGGAAGGTTGGAGCGAGAATCTCGGAGGGCACCTGCACCGGAAGCGGTTGCAGGCGGCGAACTCCTTGAGGTCCCCTTCATCTAGCGGAACACCAAGAAATGGCGTATACTCTGCAGATGGAGTTCCTGAAAAAAAAACTTGGTTTGAGTTCATGAAATGTAATATCTTTGTTCATTTAGTTAGACAAATGTCGTCGTAACTCGATCAGGTTCTGGAGTGCATCTCCTATGCTTTTGGTTTCTGTTGGTGGAGCCTGGGGGAACTCTACTCCCACCCCGGAGGTGGAAGGTTGGGGTGAGCTTGGAAGACACCTGCACCGGAGGCGGTTGCAGGTGACGCACTCCTTAACCTCCCTCTCATCTAACAGGAACCTCCGTATATCCTGCAGATTGAATTCTTGGAAAGAAAACTTGGTTTGAGTTCATGAAATGAAAATCTTTGTTCATTTAGACAAATACTTTTCAATATTTTCCACTACGTACGTACATTGTTAGAAAGTGCCGTGTGGGGACGGCCGTAAAGAATACAATTCCCCATTGTGAATTGGTATTCCTGTAGATTTGTCACTTACTTATTTTTTCTTCAGGATTATTTTCCGCGGGTACGTGAAGTTAGTACTCGCAGACCTGCCGGTAGAACCTGAGTAGGGACGCCACCGGTAAGGGGTTCCTCCTGTGGAGGTTGGTACCAGATGGATTGGTGGTAATGGTGGTGCGCCGACCACGACATATTTATCTCGTTGTTTACTGACTCTGTAAGACAGAAATAAATTCAGGAGGACTGTGGGGGTTGATACCATAATATGGATTTCGGATGCGCCAGCCACGAAAGTTTGATCTTGTTGTTAATCGAGCGTAGGTAATCCATAGGTGTGATTCCTGCACCCACCTCAGTAGATCGCCAGAACTGGATCAGGTTCTGGAGAGTGTCTCCCATGATTTCAAATGTCGCCCTGCGTGGCCTGGGCAGTGCTTCAGGCGGTGGAGCCTGGGGGAACCCTTGTCTCGCCCCGGAGGTGGAAGGCTGGGGCGAGCTTGGAGTACACCTGCACCGGAGGCGGTTGCAAGTGACGCACTCCTTAACCTCCCTCTCATCTAACAGGAACCTCCGTATATCCTGCAGATTGAATTCTTGGAAAGAAAACTTGGTTTGAGTTCGTTAAATGAAAATCTTTGTTCATTTATTTATTTATTTAAAGACTTTATTGCACACACAAAAATGTTCAGTACAAAAAGGCGAGCTTAATGCCATAAGTCATTCTCTACCAGCTGACCTTGAGCAAAACAGATTTAGACAAATACTTTTCAATATTTTCCACTACGTACGTACATTGTTAGATAGTGCCGTGTGGGGACGGCCGTAAAGAATGCAATTCCTCACTGCCAATAGGAAAATAAGTAAGTGAAAAATCTACATTTTTCACTTACTTATTTTTTCTTCAGGATTATTTTCCGCGGGTACGAGAAGTTAGTACTCGCAGACCTGACGGTAGAACCTGAGTAGGGACACCACTGGTGAGGGTCCCTTCCAGGGGGGTTGGTACCAGATCGATTGGTGGTGCGCCGACCACGACATATTTATCTCGTTGTTAACTGACTCTGTAAAACAGGAATAAATTCAAGAGGTCTTTGGGGGTTGATACCATATGGATTTTGGATGCGCCAGCCACGACGGGTGGATCTCGTTGTTGATTAAGTGTGGGTTATCCATGGGTGTGATTCCAGCACCCATCTCAAAAGATCGTCGTAGGATGACTTTGTTGTAATTGATCGAGTAGCTAGCCTGAGGGAACTCTGCTCCTGTCCCTAACTGCCAACTTTCGGATGCCGTCCATGTGATCTTTGGTTCATTAGTAACCGTGTAGAGGAGATTTTATGCTGACGTTTTGAAAATGTGAAGTTTATATTTGTTTTTTTCCAACGTACACTGTTGGATAGTACCGTATGGGAAAGTCCGTAAAGAATGCAATTCCTCACTGCCAATAGGTATTCTTGTAGATTTTTTCACTTTCTTATTTTTTCTTAAGGATTTTTTTCCGCGGGTATGTGAAGGTAGTCCTCGTAGATTGGTTGGTAGAACCTGTGTAGAGACGCCACCGGTGAGGGTTTCTCCCGTGGGGGTTGGCACCAGATCGATTTGTGGTGCGTCGGCCACCACATATTTATCTCGTTGTTGACTCTGTAAGACAGGAATAAATTCAAGAGGAATGTGGGGGTTGATACCATATTATGGATTTCGGATGCGCCGGCTACGACAGGTCGATCTTGTTGTGAATCGAGCGTGGGTAATCCATGGGTGTGCTTCCTGCACCCACCTCAGAAGATCGTCATAGTGTCTCTCCAGAATTGGATCAAGTTCTTTTGTACACTGCCCAGCGTGGTCTTGGCAGAGCTTCAGGCGGTGAAGCCTGGAAGAACCCTTGTTTCGCCCCAGAGGTGGAAGGTTGATCTCGTTGTTAATAGAGTGTGGGTAATCCATGGGTGTGCTTCCTGCACCCACCTCAGAAGATCGTCATAGTGTCTCTCCAGAATTGGATCAAGTTCCTTTGTACACTGCCCAGCGTGGTCTTGGCAGAGCTTCAGGCGGTGAAGCCTGGAAGAACCCTTGTTTCGCCCCAGAGGTGGAAGGTTGATCTCGTTGTTAATAGAGTGTGGATAATCCATGGGTGTGATTCCTGCACCCACCTCAGAAGATCGTCGTAGTGTCTCTCCAGAACTGGATTAAGTTCTGGAGAGCGGCTCCTATAACTTTTATACACTGCCCAGCGTGGCCTTGGCAGAGCTTCAGGCGGTGAAGCCTGGAAGAACCCTTGTTTCGCCGAGGAGGTGGGAGGTTGGGGTGAGAATTTCGGAGGGCACTTGCACTGGAGGCAGTTGCGGGTGACGCACTCCTTAACCTCCCTCTCACCTCTCATCAACCAACCTCTCATCTAACAGGAACCTCCGTATATCCTGCAGATTGAGTTTCTGGAAAGAAAACTTGGTTTGAGTTCATGAAATGAAAATCTTTGTTCATTTACACAAATACTTCTCAATATTTTCCACTACATACGTATATTGTTAGATAGTGCCGTGTGGGGACGGCCGTAAAGAATGCAATTCCCCACTGTCAATAGGAATTCTTATTTTTAATTTCCACTTACTTATTTTTTCTTCAGGATTATTTTCCGCGGGTACGTGAAGTTAGTACTCGCAGACCTGACGCTAGAACCTGAGTAGTGGTTAACTGACCCTATAAGACAGAAATAAATTCTGGAGGTCTTTAGGGGTTGATACCATATGGATTTTGGATGCGCCATCCACGACAGGTGGATCTCGTTGTTGATTAAGTGTGGTTAATCCATGGGTGTGATTCCAGCTCCCATCTCAAAAGATCGTCGTAGGATGACTTTGTGGTAATTGATCGTGGAGCTAGCCTGGGAGAACTCTGCTCCTGTCCCTAACTGCCAACTTTCGGATGCCGTCCATGTGATCTTTGGTTCATTAGTTACCGTGTAGAGGAGGTTTTATGCTGACGTTTTGTAAATGTGAAGTTTATATTTGTTTTTTTTCAACGTACACTGTTGGATAGTACCGTATGGGAAAGGCCGTAAAGAATGCAATTCCCCACTGCCAATAGGTATTCTTGTAGATTTTTTCACTTTCTTATTTTTTCTTTAGGATTTTTTTCCGCGGGTATGTGAAGGTATTACTCGCAGACCTGACGGTAGAACCTGAGTAGGGACGCCACCGGTGAGGGTTCCTTCCGTGGGGGTTGGTACCAGATCGATAAGTGGTGCGCCGGCCACGACATATTTATCTCGTTGTTAACTGACTCTGTAAGACAGAAATAAATTCTGGAGTACCGTGGGGGTTGATACCATATGGAGTTCGGATGCGCCGGCCTCTACAGGTTGATCTCGGTGTTAATCGAGTGTGGGTAATCAATGGGTGTGATTCCTGCACCCACCTCAGTAGTTCTCCAGAACTGGATCAGGTTCTGGAGAGTGTCTCCTATGATTTCAAAAGTCGCCCTGCGTGGCCTGGGCAGTGCTTCAGGCGGTGGAGCCTGGGGGAACCCTTGTCTCGCCCCGGAGGTGGAAGGCTGGGGCGAGCTTGGAACACACCTGCACCGGAGGCGGTTGTAGGTGACGCACTCCTTAACCTCATCTCATCTAACAGGAACCTCCGTATATCCTGCAGATTGAATTCTTGGAAAGAAAACTTGGTTTGAGTTCATGAAATGAAAATCTTTGTTCATTTAGACAAATACTTGTCAATATTTTCTACTACTTACGTACATGGTTAAATAGTGCCGTGTTTTGAAGGCCGTAAAGAATACAATGCCCCATTGTGAATTGTTATTCCTGTAGATTTTTCACTTACTTATTTTTTCTTCAGGATTATTTTCCGCGGGTACGTGAAGTTAGTACTCGCAGACCTGCCGGTAGAACCTGAGTAGGCACGCCACCGGTGAGGGTTCCTCCCGTGGGGGTTGGTCCAGATCGATTTGTGGTGCGCCGCCCACTACATAATAATATTTATCTCGTTGTTAACTGACTCTGTAAGAAAGAAATAAATTCAGGAGGTCTTTAGGGGTTATTACCATATGGATTTTGGATGCACCGGCCAAGACAGGTTGATCTCGTTGTTAATCGAGCGTGGGTAATCCATGGGTGTGATTCCTGCACCCACCTCAGAAGATCGTCATAGTGTCTCTCCAGAACTGGATCAAGTTGTGGAGAGCGGCTCCTATGACTTTTGTACACTTCCCAGAGTGGCCTGGGCAGAGCTTTAGGCGGTGAACCCTGGAAGAACCCTTGTTTCGCCGAGGAGGTGGGAGGTTGGGGTGAGAATTTCGGAGGGCACTTGCACTGGAGGCAGTTGCGGGTGACGCACTTCTTGATATCCTTCTGATCTAACACCTTGGTTTGAATTCATGAAATAAAATACATAATTTTTGTTCATTTATACTTCTCAATATTTTCCACTACGTACATTGTTAGATATTGCTGAGTGGGGACGGCCGTAAAGAATACAATTCCCCACTGCCTATAGGTATTTCTGTCGATTTTTCCACTTACTTATTTCTTCTTCAGGATTATTTTCCGCGAGTACGTGAAGTTAGTACTCGCAGACCTGCCGGTAGAACCTGAGTAGGGACGCCACCGGTGAGGGTTCCTCCCGTGGGGGTTGGTACCAGATGGATTGGTGGTGCGCCGACCACGACATATTTATCTCGTTGTTAATTGACTCTGTAAGACAGAAATAAATTCAGGAGGACTGTAGGGGTTGATACCATACGCATTTCGGATGCTTCAGCCAAAACAAACAGGTTGATCTCGTTGTTAATCGAGTGTGGGTAATCCATGGATGTGATTCCTGCACCCACCTCAGTAGTTCTCCAGAACTGGATCAGGTTCTGAAGAGTGTCTCCCATGATTTCAAATGTCGCCCTGCGTGGCCTGGGCAGTGTTTCTGGCGGTGGAGCCTGGGGGAACCCTGGTCTCGCCCCGGAGGTGGAAGGTTGGGGCGAGCTTGGAGGACACCTGCACCGGAGGCGGTTACAGGTGACGCACTCCTTAACCTCCCTCTCATCTAACAGGAACCTCCGTATATCCTGCAGATTGAGTTCCTGGAAAGAAAACTTGGTTTGAGTTCGTGAAATGAAAATGTTTGTTCAATTAGACAAATACTTCTCAATATTATTTTCCACTACGTACATACATTGTTAGATAGTGCCGTGTGGGGACGGCCGTAAAGAATACAATTCCCCATTGTGAATTGGTATTCCTGTAGATTTTTCATTTACTTATTTTTTCTTTAGGATTATTTTCCGCGGGTACGTGAAGTTAGTACCTACTCGCAGACCTGACGGTAGAACCTGAGTAGGGACGCCACCGGTGAGGGTTCCTTCCGCGGGGGTTGGTACCAGATCGATTGGTGGTTCGCCGACCACGACATATTTATCTCGTTGTTAACTGACTCTGTAAGACAGAAATAAATTCAGGAGGTCTTTAGGGGTTGATACCATATTATTATGGATTTTGCATGCGCCAGTTACGACAGGTTGATCTAGTTTTTAATCGAGCATGGGTAATCCATGGGTGTGATTCCTGCACCCACCTCAGAAGATCGTCATAGTGTCTCCAGAACTGGATCAGGCTCTGGAGAGTGTCTCCTATGACTCCTGTACACTGTCCAGCGTGGCCTGGGCAGAGCTTCTGGCAGTGGCGAGATGACCTTTTCGTAATCGATCGAGGAGCTAGTCTGAGGGACCTCTGCTCCCACCTCTAACTGAAAGCAATTAAGATTAACTGACCGTCAATTGGGAAGGTCATGCCCGGTCCGGAGTGGGTGATCCTCGTTGTGATTCCTGCACCCACCTCAGAAGATCGTCATAGTGTCTCTCCAGAACTGGATTAAGTTCTGGAGAGCGTGTCCTATGACTTTTGTACACTGCCCAGCGTGGCCTGGGCAGAGCTTCTGGCGGTGGCGGGATGGCCTTGTCGTTATCGAGCCCTGAGGAGCTAGACTGAGGGACTTCTGCTCCCACATCTAACTGAAAGTAATTAATATTAACTGACCATCAATTGGGAAGGTCATGTCCGGCCCGGCGTGGGTGATCCTCGTTGTGATTAATTCTGCACCCACCTCAGAAGATCGTCGTAGTGTCTCTCCAGAACTGGATCAAGTTCTGGAGAGCGTCTCCTATGACTTTTGTACACTGCCCAGCGTGGCCTGGGCAGAGCTCTGGCGGTGGAGTCTGGGGGAACCCTGGTCTCGCTCGGAGGTAGAAGGTTGGGGCGAGCTAGGAGGTAGAAGGTTGTGGCGAGCTTGGAGGACATCTGCACCGGAGGCGGTTGTGGGTGACGCACTCCTTAACCTCCCTCTCATCTCTCATCAACCAACCTCTCATCTAACAGGAACCTCCGTATATCCTGCAGATTGAGTTTCTGGAAAGAAAACTTGGTTTGAGTTCATGAAATGAAAATCTTTGTTCATTTAGACAAATACNAATGCTCGTAACTCAGTTTAGACTGAGTTTAGAGGTATACATGTCATAGTAAGTTTGGTTTATTACACTATTTTGTAATCAAAAAACAAAGTTTGGTCGATGGCCGCGCGAAAAAAAAAGACGCCAATTTCCGGCATTGTCTTTTGGTATGCAGGTACCTTAGTAAACTTAAAGCTTAGTTTACAACAGGATATTGCAACATTCCCACGGGAACGTGAGTTAGCGGGAAAAAACATTTGTATGAAAAAATCTAAACCGCGTAAGATAGATGAAGGGGGTAAAACGGGATCCACGCGTATGAAGTCGCGGGCGGCCGCTAGTAAATAAATAAATTAAATAAGTGTTACAAAAAGTCTGTTTACCGTCATTAAATATTATTTAGTTATTTATTTATACTTTGACACATAATACAGTACATGGCGGACTTAATGCCATTATGAATATTAGGAACATTAGGAAGGGCATTATGAATATTAAACCTATACATATTATTCTTTGTAGTGAACACGTCATGGGCAATGAACGACAAAATGGCGGAGTGAATTAGCAAGCTCAACTGTTGGGTTGTAACTCCTTACGGATGGCTGAGGAGTGAAAAGGTCTTGAATAGATACCATTTGGTAAACACGCTGGACCTGACCTGGTGGACTTGGTAAACCTGGTGGGAATCAAGCTGACGGTGGACCTAATAATCCTTGCGGGATTCAAGCTGACGGTAGACCTGGTACTCCTGGTGGGATTCAAGTTGACGGTGGACCTGGTAATCCTTGTGGGATTCAAGTTGACGGTGGACCTGGTAATCCTTGTGGGATTTAAGCTGACGGTGGACCTGGTAATCCTTGTGGGATTCAAGCTGACGATGGACCTGGTAATCCTTGTGGGATTCGAGCTGACCTTGTGATCCTGGTACTCCTGGTGGGATTCAAGCTGACAGAGGATCTGGTACTTCTGGTGGGATTCGAGCTGACCTTATGGACCTGGTACTCCTGGTGGGTCGAGCTGACGGAGGACCTGGTACTCCTGGTGGGATTCGAGCTGACCTTGTGGACCTGGTACTCCTGGTGGGATTCAAGCTGAAATGGTAGACCTGGTAGTCCTGGTGGGATTCAAGCTGACCTGACCTGTTGGACCTGGTAATCCTGTACGGATTCCAAGCGACCTTCGGTTCCTTTGTTACCGTGTGGAGGAAGTTTTATGCTGACTTTTTAAGGATAATTATGACGATTTTTTAATTATTTTAAACATACCTACTTGTTAATCTTTTCCACTACATACATTGTTAGATAGTGCCGTGCGGTTACGGCCGTAAAGAATACTATTCCCCACTGCCAATAGGTATTAATGTAGCACGAGATGGCAATTAAAAATACAACGGCAACCAGACCCTCAGTCTCCGGTGCCCCTCTGTTACTGGCTATAGTAGCATTCAAATTGACAAGGAGGGGTTCCTAATCCCCGGAGGCGAAACGGCTACCACGACCAACGACTTCGAAGGACGTCCACCCACAAGGTGGACCAGCGACCTCATAAGCAAGGCGCTGGATACAGGCCGCTCAATTCGATCGTTAAGGTGTTGAAATTAGTATTAGAATAGATTTTGATTTTTTTACTTTTTAGTATTGGCTACTTTTACTTTTTATTATTGGTTACTTTTTATTATTTTTTAATTTTGATTATATTACATAACGCTTTTTTGTATAGGTACTTGAATAAATTTGGTTTTTTTTTTATTTTAAATGGGTATTATAGCGGCATTAGCGGTTTATTTTTTGTGTCAAGGGCTTTTAAACTGTTATTTTTTTATTTCATGCTTTTTGTATTTAATCGGTCATTTATGGCATTTCGGTTATTTTCTTGCATTTCAATATATACCGATATACATTTAAATCAAAGTTACTGTATAATAATCAAACCATCAAACATTTCCTCTTACTTATTTCGTCTTCACGATTATTTTCTGCAAGTGTGTGAAGATTTTTCCACATACTTATTTCTCCTTCAGGTCGGGTAAGTGAAGATAGTACTCGTAGATCTGACGGTAGAATCTGAGGAGGGACACCACTGGTGAGGGACGTGAGGGTTCCTCCTGTGGGGGGTTGGTACCAGATGGAGTTTGGATGCGCCGGCCATGACAGGTCGATCTCGCTGTTAATCGAGCGTGGGTAATCCATGGGTGTGATTCCTGCACCCACCTCAGAAGATCGTCATAGTGTCTCTCCAGAACTGGATCAGGTTATGGAGTGCGTCTCCTATGACTCCTGTACACTGCCCAGCGTGGCCTGGGCAGGGCTTCTGGCGGTGGAGCCTAGGGGAACCCTGCTCCCGCCGCGAATGTAGAAGTTTGGGGCGAGCTTGGAGGACACCTGCACCGGAGGCGGTTATAGGTGACGCACCCCTTAACCTCCCTCTCATCTAACAGGAACCTCCGTATATCCTGCAGATATTCTTAGAAAGAAAACTTGGTTTGAGTTCATGAAATGAAAATCTTTGTTCATTTAGTTAGACAAATACTTCTCAATATTTTCCACTACGTACGTACATTGTTAGAATCAGATAGTGCCGTGTGGGGACGGCCGTAAAGCATACAATTCCCCATTGTAAATTGGTATTCCTGTAGATTTTTCACGTACTTATTTTTTCTTCAGGATTATTTTCCGCGGGTACGTGAAGTTAGTACTCGCAGACCTGCCGGTAGAACCTGAGTAGGGACGCCACCGGTGAGGGTTCTTCCTGTGGAGGTTGGTAATAAATGGAGTTCGGATGCGCCGGCTACGACAGGTCGATCTCGTTATTAATCGAGCGTGGGTAATCCATGGGTGTGATTCCTGCACCTACCTCAGAAGATCGTCATAGTGTCTCTCCAGAACTGGCTCTTATAACTTTTGTACACTGCCCAGCGTGGACTTGGCAGAGCTTCAGGCGGTGAAGCCTGGAAGAACCCTTGTTTCGCCGAGGAGGTGGAAGGTTGATCTCGTTGTTAATCGAGCATGGGTAATCCATGGGTGTGATTCCTGCACCTACCTCAGAAGATCGTCATAGTGTCTCTCCAGAACTGGATCAAGTTCTGGAGCTTGTCTCCTATGACTCCTGTACACTGCCCAGCGTGGCCTGGGCAGAGCTTCTGGCGGTGGAGCCTGGGGGAACCCTGGTCTCGCTCGAAGGTAGAAGGTTGGGGCGAGCTAGGAGGTAGAAGGTTGGGGCGAGCTTCGAGGACATCTTCAACGGAGGCGGTTATGGGTGACGCACTCCTTAACCTCCCTTACATCTAACAGGAATCTCCGTATATCCTGCAGATTGAATTCTTGGAAAGAAAACTTGGTTGGAATTCACGAAATTAAACATCTTTATTCATTTAGACTAGGACTGTAAAGGGCTGTTGATGATGATGATGATGATTCATTTAGACAAATACATTTCCCAACTGCCAATAGGAATTCCTGTACATTTTTCAACTTACTTATTTCTTCTTCAGGATTATTTTCCGCGAACACTTGAAGATAGTACTCGTATAACCTGAGTATGATTTGAGGTGATGGTTCTTCCTGTAGAGGTTGATACCATATATATTTCGAATGCGCTGGCGAAGACAGGTTGATCTCGTTGTTAATCGAGCGTGGGTAATCCATGGGTGTGATTCCTGCACCCACCTCAGAAGATCGTCATAGTGTCTCTCCAGAACTGAATCAGGTTATTGAGTGCGTCTCGTATGACTCCTGTACACTGCCCAGCGTGGCCTGGGCAGAGCTTCTGGCGGTGGAGCCTGGGGGAACCCTTGTCTCGCCGCGAATGTAGAAGTTTGGGGCGAGCTTGGAGGACACCTGCACCGGAGGCGGTTATAGGTGACGCACCCCTTAACCTCCCTCTCATCTAACAGGAACCTCCGCATATCCTGCAGATATTCTTGGAAAGAAAACTTGGTTTGAGTTCATGAAATGAAAATCTTTGTTCATTTAGAAAAATACTTCTCAATATTTTCCACTACGTACGTACATAGTTAGATAGTGCCGTGTGGGGACGGCCGTAAAGCATACAATTCCCCATTGTGAATTGGTATTCCTGTAGATTTTTCACCTACTTATTTTTTCTTCAGGATTATTTTCCGCGGGTACGTGAAGTTAGTACTCGCAGACCTGACGGTAGAACCTGAGTAGGGACGCCACCGTTGAGGGTTCCTTCCGTGGGGGTTGGTACCAGATCGATTAGTGGTGCACCGGCCACGACATATTTATCTCGTTGTTAACTGACTCTGTAAGACAGAAATAAATTCAGGAGGACTGTAGGGGTTGATACCATACGGATTTTGAATGCGTCAGCAAAAACAAACAGGTCGATCTCGTTGTTCATCGAGCGTGGGTAATCCATGGGTTTGATTCCACCCACCTCAGAAGACCGTCATAGTGTCTCTCCAAAACTGGATCAAGTTTTGGAGAGCGTCTCCTATAACTTTTTTATACTGCCCAGAGTAGCCTGGGCAGAACTTCTGGCGGTGGCGGGATGACCTTGTCGTAATTGAGCCCTGAGGAGCTAGCTTGGGGGACTTCTTCTTCCACCTCTAACTGAAAGTTATTAATATAAAATATGACCATCAATTGGGAAGGTCATGTCCGGCCCGGCGTGGGTGATCCTCGTTGTGATTCCTGCACCCACCTCAGAAGATCGTCATAGTGTCTCTCCAGACCTGGATCAAGTTCTGGAGAACGGCTCCTATGACTTTTGTACACTGCCCAGTGTGGCCTGAGCAGAGCTCTGGCGGTGGAGTCTGGGGGAACCCTGGTCTCGCTCGGAGGTAGAAGGTTGGGGCGAGCTAGGAGGTAGAAGGTTGTGGCGAGCTTGAAGGTAAAAGGTTGGGGCGAGCTTGGAGGACATCTGCACCGGAGGCGGTTGTGGGTGACGCACTCCTTAATCTCCCTCTCATCTCTCATCAACCAACCTCTCATCAACCAACCTCTCATCTAACAGGAACCTCCGTATATCCTGCAGATTGAGTTTCTGGAAAGAAAACTTGGTTTGAGTTCATGAAATGAAAATCTTTGTTCATTTACACAAATACTTCTCAATATTTTCCACTACATACGTATATTGTTAGATAGTGCCGTGTGGGGACGGCCGTAAAGAATGCAATTCCCCACTGTCAATAGGAATTCTTATTTTTAATTTCCACTTACTTATTTTTTCTTCAGGATTATTTTCCGCGGGTACGTGAAGTTGGTACTCGCAGACCTGACGCTAGAACCTGAGTAGTGGTTAACTGACCCTAAAAGACAGAAATAAATTCTGGAGGTCTTTAGGGGTTGATACCATATGGATTTTGGATGCGCCAGCCACGACAGGTGGATCTCGTTGTTGATCAAGTGTGGGTAATCCATGGGTGTGATTCCAGCTCCCATCTCAAAAGATCGTCGTTGGATGACTTTGTGGTAATTGATCGAGGAGCTAGCCTGGGAGAACTCTGCTCCTGTCCCTAACTGCCAACTTTCGGATGCCGTCCATGTGATCTTTGGTTCATTAGTTACCGTGTAGAGGAGGTTTTATGCTGACGTTTTGAAAATGTTAAGTTTATATTAATTTGTTTTTCAACCGACTTCAAAAAAGGAGGAGGTTCTCAATTCGACCCATATGTTTTTTTTTTTCTATGTTTGTTACGCGATAACTCCGCCAACTATGAACCGATTTGAACAAGTCTTTTTTCGGCGTATAGGTAATACCTCAAGGGTGGTCCCATTTAAATTTAATATTAGAAAAAACAACCCCCAAGGGTGGAAAATAAATCAATTTGAACGATAATTTTTTTGTTGAATAGGTATTATCAAAAGGGTGGTTTCATGCGAATTTGAAGAAAATATTACACCCCCAAGGGTGGAAAATTGGGGATGAACTTTTTTATACGCAATATTTTTAATTTTTAGTTTTTTTTGTGTTCACGCATTTGAAGTCGGTTTTATTTTTTTTAAAAGTTAATTATTTTCAACGTACACTGTTGGATAGTACCGTATGGGAAAGGCCGTAAAGAATGCAATTCCCCACTGCCAATAGGTATTCTTGTAGATTTTTTCACTTTCTTATTTTTTCTTTAGGATTTTTTTCCGCGGGTATGTGAAGGTATTACTCGCAGACCTGACGGTAGAACCTGAGTAGGGACGCCACCGGTGAGGGTTCCTACTGTAGGGGTTGGTACCAGATCGATAAGTGGTGCGCCGGCCACGACATATTTATCTCGTTGTTAACTGACTCTGTAAGACAGAAATAAAATCTGGAGTACCGTGGGGGTTGATAACTTGATACCATATGGAGTTCGGATGCGCCGGCCTCAACAGGTTGATCTCTATGTTAATCGAGTGTGGGTAATCAATGGGTGTGATTCCTGCACCCACCTGAGTAGTTCTCCAGAACTGGATAAGGTTCTGGAGAGTGTCTCCTATGATTTCAAAATTCGCCCTGCGTGGCCTGGGCAGTGCTTCAGGCGGTGGAGCCTGGGGGAACCCTTGTCTCGCCCCGGAGGTGGAAGGCTGGGGCGAGCTTGGAACACATCTGCACCGGAGGCGGTTGTAGGTGACGAACTCCTTAACCTCATCTCATCTAACAGGAACCTCCGTATATCCTGCAGATTGAATTCTTAGAAAGAAAACTTGGTTTGAGTTCATGAAATGAAAATCTTTGTTCATTTAGACAAATACTTGTCAATATTTTCCACTACGTACGTACATTGTTAGATAGTGCCGTATGGGGACGGCCGTAAAGAATGCAATTCCCCACTGCCAATAGGAATTCCTGTAGATTTTTCACTTACTTATTTTTTCTTCAGGATTATTTTCCGCGGGTACGAGAAGTTAGTACTCGCAGACCTGACGGTAGAACCTGAGTAGGGACACCACTGGTGAGGGTCCCTTCCAGGGGGGTTAGTACCAGATCGATTGGTGGTGGGCCGACCACGACATTATTTATCTCGTTGTTAACTGACTCTGTAAAACAGAAATAAATTCAGGAGGTCTTTGGGGGTTGATACCATATGCATTTTGGATGCGCCAGCCATGACGGGTGGATCTCGTTGTTGATTAAGTGTGGGTTATCCATGGGTGTGATTCCAGCACCCATCTCAAAAGATCGTCGTAGGATGACTTTGTTGTAATTGATCGAGGAGCTAGCCTGAGGGAACTCTGCTCCTGTCCCTAACTGCCAACTTTCGGATGCCGTCCATGTGATCTTTGGTTCATTAGTAACCGTGTAGAGGAGATTTTATGCTGACGTTTTGAAAATGTGATGTTTATATTTGTTTTTTTCCAACGTACACTGTTGGATAGTACCGTATGGGAAAGGCCGTAAAGAATGCAATTCCCCACTGCCAATAGGTATTCATGTAGATTTTTTCACTTTCTTACTTTTTCTTTAGGATTTTTTTCCGCGGGTATGTGAAGGTAGTCCTCGTAGATTGGTTGGAAGAACCTGAGTAGGGACGCCACTGGTGATGGTTCCTCCTGTAGACGTTGATTCGAGATGGAGTTCGGATGCGCCAGCCACAACCGGTTGATCTCGTTATTAATCGAGCGAGGGTAATCCATGGGTGTGATTCCTGCACCCACCTCAGAAGATCGTCATAGTGTCTCTCCAGAACTGGATCAAGTTCAGGAAAGCGGCTCCTATGACTTTGCGTGGCTTGAGGGCACCTGCACCGGAGGCGGTTGCAGGTGACGCACTCCTTAACCTCCCTCTCATCTAACAGGAACCTCCGTATGGACTGCAGATTGAGTTCCTGGAAGGAAAACTTGTTTGAGTTCATGAAAAATGAAAATCTTTGTTAGAAAAATACTTCTCAATATTTTCCACTACGTACGTTCATTGTTAGATAGCGCCGTGTGGGGACGGCCGTAAAGAATGCAATTCCCCACAGCCAATAGGCATTCTTTTAGATTTTTTCACTTTCTAATTTTTTCTTTAGGATTTTTTTCCGCGGGTACGTGAAGTTAGTACTCGCAGACCTGACGGTAGAACCTGAGTAGGGACGCCACCGTTGAGGGTAGGGCATGTAATATCGGAAGGTTTTCAATTCCGATATTGAATTCCGATATTAGATCTCAGTATCGGAATTCCGATATTAATATCGGAATTGAGTTCATGTGCTATAAAATTAATATTTGGTTATATTCATAAGAATTCTGAATTGTTTACAATAAAATAATGATTTTAATCGAAATCTTTAATTTGGTACAAAACAGCACTTCATAAAATTGAAGTATTTTAAAACCATTTTTACGTTATGGGTATCCATTGCATTTGGTTTTTTATGTGACAAGAGGCAAACGAGCAGACGGATCACCTGATAATGAATGGTTACTAATAATGAGCCTATATGGACTAGCAAATAATTAAAAAGTGTTTTTGTAAAATCACAGGTATCAAAAACACTTTTACTCCTTCATTATATTACCCTGCTTTATGTTGGCGGAACGAATTTTAGAGTCTTGAATGACTCTGAATCACGTGTTACAAAAATTGTAGAGAGTGGTAAAAAACTTGAATATGCTTTTAATTTGTTCCTTTTTGATTATCGATGTACAATACAACTCACAAAACCACTAGCCATCATCATCATCATGTAGGACGTCGACTGCTGAACACAGGCTCCGATGCTGATTTCACAATGGCCGGTTGGTGGCGGCCTGCATCTAGCGCCTTCCTGCTACCTTTATGAGGTCATCGGTCCACCTTGCGGTTATGAGTTCTACGCTGCGCTTTCCGGTACATGGCCTCCACTTCAGAACCTTGCTGCCTCATCGTCCGTCTGTTTTGCGTACTAAGGCAGAACCGTTGGAAGACCTTATCACAATGCTCGAAGACCTTAATCGAGTTTCCCAACAGGCCTTCGGATGAATATGGAAAAAACGAAGCTTATGTCGAATGTCCATGTTGCTCCTTACCCAGTTTCGGTTAGGAGCTTGATTCTCAAGATTGTTGACTATCAGCTAGGTAGTTAGATGCAATTTCGAGAAAGAGGTAAATCGTCGAATACGAAGACGAAAGTCTTCAATTAGTGTGTGTTACCAGTGATGATATACGGCTTGGTGTTTCTTTACGAGATCTAATCAGAAATGAGGAGCTCCGTAAACTAACTAAGGTCGCTGACATAGCCTGACGGATTAGCAAGCTGAAGTAGCAATGGGCAGTGCTCATAGTACGCAGAACTGACGGTCCATAGTCCAGTAAAATTAATGTTTTAAGGGAGTTGAGATGTCGTTCTTTGTTGACCAAGTACCTATGGCAAATGCCAAAATTGATTTAGAACAAGTCAAATTAACCATAAATAGTAAATATACTAAAATATTTGCAGTGGAACAAAAAGTGATGGTGAGAGACATCAGAAAATCATTGGTCTTTGCCAATCATGTACTTTGGGCTTTGTGGCAGGTTCTCGCGACTTTAAATGCTTTGTTTAAAATCTCAATTAAAACTTTTATCTGATTCCGATATTACGATATTGGGTCGCTCAATATCGGAATTGAAATATCGGATCTCGTAGTCCGAGATTCCGATATTACGAGATTCCGAGATTCCGATATTCATGCCCTAGTTGAGGGTTCCTTCCGTGGGGGTTGGTACCAGATCGATTAGTGGTGCACCGGCCACGACATATTTATCTCGTTGTTAACTGACTCTATAAGACAGAAATAAATTCAGGTCTTTAGGGGTTGATACCATATGGATTTCAGATGCGCCGGCCAAGACAGGTTGATCTCTTTGTTAATCGAGCGTGGGTAATCCATGGGTTTGATTCCACCCACCTCAGAAGATCGTCGTAGTGTCTCTCCAGAACTGGATTAGGTTCTGGAGAACGTCTCCTATGACTTTTGTACACTGCCCAGCGTGGCCTTGGCAGAGCTTCAGGCGGTGAAGCCTGGAAGAACCCTTGTTTCGCCCCGGAGGTGGAAGGTTGATCTCATTGTTAATCGAGCGTGGGTAATCCATGGGTGTGATTCCTGCACCCCCCTCAGAAGATCGTTATAGTGTCTCTCCAGAACTGGATCAGGTTCTGGAGAGCGTCTCCTATGACTTTTGTACACTGCCCGGTGAGGGTTTCTTCTGTGGGAGTTGGTACCATATGGAGTTCGGATGCGCCGGCCACGACAAGTTGATCTCGTTGTTAATCGAGTGTGTATAATCCATGGGTGTGATTCCTGCACCCACCTCAGAAGATAGTCCTTGTGTCTCTCGAGAACTGGATCAGGTTCTGGAGTGCGTCTCCTATGACTTTTGTACACTGCCCAGCGTGGCCTGGGCAGAGCTCTGGCGGTGGAGCCTGGGGGAACCCTGGTCTCGCCCCGGAGGTGGAAGTTTGGGGCGAGCTTGGAGGACACCTGCACCGGAGGCGGTTGCGGGTGACGCACTCCTTGATATCCTTCTGATCTAACACCTTGTTTGAATGCATGAATTACAACTTCTTTATTCTTCTTCCATTTGTTCTCTTAGCCACACTCCCCCTTCTGTGGTATGGACACTACTCCACGTTGGCACCGTCCGGTGCCTGGCAGCTTGATGACGAACCGTTCCTTCTCATAAGCTAAGCGTGCGCGAATTCCCGCAGCCTCGCNGTTATTCCTGTAGATTTTTCACTTACTTATTTTTTCTTCAGGATTATTTTCCGCAGGTACGTGAAGTTAGTACTCGCAGACCTGACGGTAGAACCTGAGTAGGGATGCCGCCGGTGAAGGTTCCTCCTGTGGAGGTTGGTACCAGATCGATTTGTAGTGCGCCGACCACGACATATTTATCTCGTTGTTAACTGACTCTGTAAGACAGAAATAAAGTCAGGACGACAGTGGGGGTTGATACCATATGGATTTCGGATGCGCCGGCCTCAACAGGTTGATCTCGGTGTTAATCGAGTGTGGGTAATCAATGGGTGTAATTCCTGCACCCACCTCAGTAGATCTCCAGAACTGGATCAGGTTCTGGAGAGTGTCTCCCATGATTTCAAGTGTCGCCCTGCGTGGCCTGGGCAGAGCTTCTTGCGGTGAAGCCTAGGGAAACCCTTGTCTCGCCCCGGAGGTGGATGGTTGGGGCGAGCTTGGAGGACACCTACAACGGAGGCGGTTGCAGGTGACGCACTCCTTAACCTCCCTCTCATCTAACAGGAACCTCCGTATATCCTGCAGATTGAGTTCCTAGAAAGAAAACTAGGTTTGAGTTCATGAAAAATGAAAATCTTTGTTAGAAAAATACTTCTCAATATTTTCCACTACGTACGTACATTGTTAGATAGCGCCGTGTGGGGACGGCCGTAAAGAATGCAATTCCCCACAGCCAATAGGCATTCTTTTAGATTTTTTCACTTTCTTATTTTTTCTTTAGGATTTTTTTCCGCGGGTATGTAAAGGTAGTAAATCTCGGGTAGAGCTAGAGCGTGGGTAATCCATGGGTGTGATTCCTGCACCCACCTCAGAAGATCGTCATAGTGTCTCTCCAGAACTGGATTAAGTTCTGGAGAGCGTGTCCTATGACTTTTGTACACTGCCCAGCGTGGCCTGGGCAGAGCTTCTGGCGTGGCGGGATGGCCTTGTCGTTATCGAGCCCTGAGGAGCTAGCCTGAGGGACTTCTGCTCCCACATCTAACTGAAAGTAATTAATATTAACTGACCATCAATTGGGAAGGTCATGTCCGGCCCGGCGTGGGTGATCCTCGTTGTGATTAATTCTGCACTCACCTCAGAAGATCGTCGTAGTGTCTCTCCAGAACTGGATCTAGTTCTGGAGAACGTCTCCTATCACTTTTGTACACTGCCCAGCGTGGCCTGGGCAGAGCTCTGGCGGTGGAGTCTGGGGGAACCCTGGTCTCGCTCGGAGGTAGAAGGTTGGGGCGAGCTAGGAGGTAGAAGGTTGTGGCGAGCTTGGAGGTAAAAGATTGGAGCGAGCTTGGAGGACATCTGCACCGGAGGCGGTTGTGGGTGACGCACTCCTTAACCTCCCTCTCATCTCTCATCAACCAACCTCTCATCTAACAGGAACCTCCGTATATCCTGCAGATTGAGTTTCTGGAAAGAAAACTTGGTTTGAGTTCATGAAATTAAACATCTTTGTTCATTTAGACACATACATTTCCCCATTGCCAATAGGAATTCCTGTACATTTTTGAACTTACTTATTTCTTCTTCAGGATTATTTTCTGTCGGTAGAACCTGAGTATGACTTGAGGTGATGGCTCTTCCTGTAGAGGTTGATACCATATAGATTTCGGATGCGCCGGCCAAGACAGGTTGATCTCGTTGTTAATCGAGCGCGGGTAATCCATGGGTGTGATTCCTGCACCCACCTTAGAAGATCGTCATAGTGTCTCTCCAGAACTGGATCAGGTTCTGGAGAGCGTCTCCTATGACTCTTGTACACTGCCCAGGGTGGCCTGGGCAGAGCTCTGGCGGTGGAGCCTGGGGGAACCCTGGTCTCGCCCCGGAGGTGGAAGTTTGGGGCGAGCTTGGAGGACACCTGCACCGGAGGCGGTTGCGGGAGACGCACTCCTTGATATCCTTCTGATCTAACACCTTGTTTGAATGCATGAATTACAACTTCTTTATTCTTCTTCCATTTGTCCCTCTTAGCCACTCTCCCCCTTCTGGGGCATGGACACTACTCCACGTTGGCACCGTCCGGTGCCTGGCAGCTTGACGACGAACCGTTCCTTCTCATAAGCTAAGCGTGCGCGAATTCCCGTAGCCTCGCGAAGTTCGCCTGATGGAGCTCTCGACCTTTGGTTTCCTGCTCCCAAAGCTGCCTACAACATCCGATAGACGTTGGGCGAGCATCCTCCTCTCTTCGCCTTCAGCATCACCATCGGCCACCAGGCGTTGTCGAACGCACCCGAGATGTCAAGAAATATTGCTTGAACATACTTCGCTGTGGACGCTCTGGCCATCACAGTCGACTTCCCCCTGGTGAAGCCATGCTGGCAATCCGACATCCCGCTATAGATCTGAGGCGCGCAGTGTAACATGAAACGCTCAAGCAACTTACCCAGGATCGAGAGAAACCTGATCGGTCGGTACGCCTTAAGGTCGGTGAGAGGCTAGTCATTGCCTTTTGGCAGCACGAGCAGTCGACCATCCTTCCACACGTCTGGGAACACTCCTTCCTCTACGCACTTGGCGTACACCAAGTAGAACTCCACCGATGCAGCCTTCCACTCATGCGTCAGCATCCTCGCAGTCACTTTATCCAGACCCGGTGCGGTGTTAGGCAACTGCTTCACCATGAGGCTTTGGTTAACCCACCACCACCCATGGCCATACCAACCTTGCGGTTATACTGGCCGAATCGCTGAAGGTGTGCGCGGAATTGCGGCTGCCTAGGGCAGATTACATTCCACCGCGCCACACTTCTTGACTCCCTACAAGTTATTTTTCTACGTCCTTGTCCCTATAGTTCAGTTCTCCCCCTTCTGGGGCCTGACGTTCACTCGTTCACTCCACGGATGACACCTTCTGGTGCCGTGCAGCGCTAGCGGTCCTCCTCCTATGCCAGCCGTACGCGAACTCTCGCAGCCGGGCGAATTTCGCCTCCAAGGAGACGAGATCGGAGTACCAGTCCAGGTATCTCGGGTACGATTCCCTGAAGCAGAGCTTGGCGTAGGTCTTCGTACAAAGGGCAGGACCACAGGACCACAGCGCTCGTACGCTGCATACGCAAGGGTTTTAACAAAAGTGCCCTGGTACAAAATGCAAAGGCCTGGGTAACGAATGTCCCAGGAAGACTGAGGCTTTGGTCAGTCTGACCGACCAATAGACTTTTGCTAATAGGGCAGGGCCCCCAGTTAGGGGCTAACTGACCGTCAATTGGGGACGGCATGTCCGGCTGGCGTCGGTAATCTGTGGGTCAATAACTTTAATAACGCCTCCAGTAGGAAGTAGGAATTATACTGCCATGGAACGTTATTAGACACTACAAAACCTGCTGCTTGCTTAGTGTGCAGACTGACGACTGCACGTATTTATCTGTTCTTTCATTTCTTTGTTTTTTTTTTAAATATAGTTCTTAATATTTTCCACTACGTCCAAAAAATAAACTTAGAACTTTCTATAACCTTACGGGGCTCTTCATTCTTGTTCTTAATTCTTTTATAAATTGTGGGTGGACATCCCATGCTGAGTTTGCCGGTGCGGTGCATAACGATTTTTATTTTAAACTTTATTTTAGCTTCATTCTCCTAAAGTATTTGGTCTAAAACTGACTGATGCCCGTTTTTACCATCAATCCCTAATTTTTAAGTGACCGATATGAAAACAAAATTCCTGTTATGTGTTACCACAGGGATCACTTAAAAAAATAGGGATTGATGGTAAAAACGGGCATTAGAACCTACCAAGGAATTAGTGACATTAAAAGATTTTTGTTTAGCTTACCTTAGTTATTTAAGTACTTAGTAATTCAATATGAAACTTTATTTTGCTGTACATAGTTATGTAGGTATTGTTATTTTTAATTTCAATAATGTATTTTACATATATATACTTAATATAATTTCCACGGGACATTAATAGACAGTTCGAGTGCGAAACGTGCTGTTCCAGTCTTAACGTTTATGTATAATCTTCTACAATTTTGTTTTCGTTTGTTTTATATTCAAAAAAAATCGTGTTCAGGTCTGTTTTACAGAAAGCTGCTTTGCATTTTTGTTAATACATAATATTGAGTTTTTGTAACTAACTCTTAATTTTTAGGGTTCCGTAGTTCTGACAAGGAATCCATAAGTTTCGATATGGCTATCTGTCCGAGGTTTTGCTTATAATATAATCCACGAACTTAAATCTTGATTGTCAACCTTTTTTTCAATATTTAATTGATAATGCTTTATTATCAATTAAATATTGAAACAAAAAAAAACAGGTTAGAAAATACTTTACATAATTAAATTAAATAAACATAATGAGACTTGGGTTTGTTCCCAAAGGGACATCCTGTTTTTTAGGGTTCCGTAGTCCTGACAAGGAACCCTTACAGTTTCGATATGTCTGTCTGTCCGAGGTTTTGCTTATAATATAATCCACGAACTTATAATATCTCGATTGTCAACCTTTTTCTCAATATTTAATTGATAATGCTTTATTTATTGTATGGTACAAATGTTTTGAAAGGATAGAATGCAAATTAATTAACATTAAAATTATAGTGATGGTGACTACATTTTAAACGTTACTTAATTTGAAATCTTGATAAGTGAGCACTATTTAGGTATGTTTATCTAGACAATTTTATGCAGCTTACTATTCTATTTATTTTACCAATGGTCCGTGACTCTCACTCGGCATGGGGCACACTGAAAACCAGCGCCGCACTATGGANACATAATAAGTTTATTATATTTGCTGCTACGGAACCCTTTGTGCGCGAGCCCGACTCGCACTTGGCCGGTTTTTTTTTCTTCTTTTGTTATTATGTGCCACTGTCATGTCTATGTAATTGCCTGTATTTGTGTGATGTCCATTGTAATAAATGTATCTTTCTTTCTTTCTTTCTTCTATTTTAACGTCTATGCAAATAAATATTTGGTCTAAAAAGTTTTTATTTCATTTACTTACTTAATTAAGTAAAACAACACTTAGTTCTTAATCTATTTTGTTTAAAATATTTAATAGCCTTCTATCTATGTTTATCTGGTGTCTAGAATAATAAATGTCTAGAATAATAAACAAATACAAAACATTCTGAGTATTTTAATTATACTGTACCTACACATATGTACACGTACTCTCATTACATTGTGCTACTGACGCCCATATTCACAAACATTACTATGAGGTCTCACAGTGCGCGTGGACGCACAGGGTGACACACGAACCAATCACAAAGCTCTATTCAACGTTGTGCGTTCGATTTGCTGCTTCACTTAAGTAAACATCGTTTGTGAATAGGGGTGTGAATAGTGAGTGCCAGAAAAGTTTCTTGTTCTTTATATCATACACTAGCTGACCCGGCGAACTTTGTTCCGCCCTAATGGCAATAAATAAGCAGACTTTTTTTATTTCGAACGATGGTGAAATATTTTTTCTAATGGTCAAATTGATTCAGCAGTTTCGGAACCTATTCAATATAGGGAAACAAAATCTTTCCTCGTTATAATTTTAGGGTAGACAACACGAACTGATAATCTACGATCTCGTGAAAATGATAGGTTTTAAATTTTATTATTCAAGTCGCAAGCCTTCAAATTGTTTAGCCCTTTTCAGTGCACTAAATAATCCATGCTATCCCTTCTCCCAATGAAACAATAATGTGAAAATTATAAATAACTGAAAAAAATCGAACTCCCTGTTTCGGGAATCGAACCCACGACCTTTTGCTTGCCGGGTGACTGCTCTTCCATCTGAGCTACTTAGACACTGGGCGAACCTGTCGAAATTTTCAAATGTAATACGCTGTTACGGCCAGCGTTTGTTTAATCAATGTTGGGTATACCTACCCTTTAAACATCTAAAGCCTGGTCCGTGAGCACGTAGAATCCCGTCCAATGACCCCAAGCTACCCATCCTTGTCGCTCACGCGTAATTATATTGCTGTCGCGACAGTGCGTCGCGCGCCCGCAGTGAGTGTGCGAGCGCGACAGCAACATAATTACGTGCGAGCGACAAGGATGGGCAGCTTGGGGTCATTGGACGGGATTCTACGTGCTCACGGACCAGGCTTTAACAGAAATATTATTGTAAATGACTGTCAGTTAAGAAACAATAAATAAAATTACTGAATAGGATTAAAAGGTACCACCAAAATGTGAGATAAATGACACCAAAATATTTGAAGCGATTGGTTTAGAACCTATCAAGGGATTAGTGAAATAAAAGGAGTGTTGATTTGATCCAATTTAAATTTTTAATAAATACTTAACCTATTAATAAATAATTAACCTACCTAACCTAATTTCCATGGGACTTTATCAGAAAATTCAAAAGCCGCTGCTTTAAATGTGAATTAAAATTATGATAAAAACATTGCTAAAAACACGAAATTTAAAAAAGAATACAAAAGAAAATACAGTAAAAATATTAAAGAAAACAAACTACCTAACATAAAATAAATAGTAACATAAAATAACTTACAAACTAACAAAATATGAAAATAACGTAGATCAACTTGGTCAAAATAATAGTAACTGGTTTTCAAGCTGTTATTTAAAGGACTAGAATAAAATGAAAACATCACATTAAAAGTAATCACAATCATAAATAAAAGATCAAAAATAAATGTCAAAATAAAGATTACAAAAATATTTTTTTTTTACGAGAACTAACAAAAATCAAAATAATAGCAAAACAAAACTTTTTATGTAAGTCTATAGTTTCAGCTATTGATATTTTTTCTGTGAGCAGCGGATTTTGTGTTAAAAAAAATTCAAGTTAATCTACACGGAGATGATTACTTCAGGCACTTTTGTTATCAACTTTAAGCTCGTCTGATGGTGTCCCTAAAGAATAGTACCCCGTGTTGAAATATTATGTTCTTTACAATAATTAAAAACAAACAAACTACAATTTACAACTTTATGTTTCATAATAATGTCCCATGGTATTAAAACATAAAAATATACAATATAAACATAATAATCCACGAATATATAAATCTTCTTGATTGTTAACCTGAAACAAAAAAACTTGATGAGTAATAATAATTGACGATATACAGACAGGTTCGAAAATATTCACATAATTAAATTAAATAAACAAAATGAGACTGTTAGGGTTTATTCCCAAGGGGACATCCCGTTTTTTGCAGGATCCTGTTTAGTAACATGTTTTAATATTAACGTTCACACGAACAGCCCGTTTGCATTGTCCCGCAAAAAACCAATCCGTTCGAATTTGTATTTTACCTACATACCTACTTCCAATTTCAAACAACTTATGAAATTCGACATTATGTGTGTTCATAATGACAATCCAGTTCTACGGGATTCTGTTTTACTGGATTGCCATGGGAATAAACCCTTAGACAAGCATTGCATTTTTTTTTCTACAAAGCTAATTATTATAAGAATAAAAGTATGTAGTAAATGTATTTTTATGTCTTCAGATATAGATGTGCAAAGCTGGCTTTGATTTGACATTAACATAACCTTAAAGTATCTAATACAAGTATCAGGGTGTCCCAGAATGGGTGAATCAAACTAATAGGGGAGGTAGCTCTATCCCAAAAAATATGAAAAAAAATGTTGAGTACGGAATTTATTTTTTAAATAAAGTGCTCTAAACTCGAAATCTAGTCATTATTTTCAAATTTTGCTTACAGATAATAATTAATATAAGTAAGAAAAAAGTACAAATAAACTCCAAACGCAGCAATTATAGCCAGATACTTAGTCAAAGCTGATTTATTTTCACTTTTAAAAAAAATATTTTTTTGTTTCCTTATGCGCTTTATTTTTTTTCGTATTTTTTTGGGATAGTACATTAGTAGAGCTACCTACCCCTATCAATTTGATTCACCTATTCTGGGACACCCTGTATAAACATTGAGATTTTCCAACTTACCTCTATCTCCCTGCGGTTTATTTTCTGCGAGTACGTGCAGGTAGTACTCGCAGAACTGCCGGTAGACCCTGACGAGATGCGCCTCCGGCAAGGGTTCCACCCGAGGGGGTTGATACCAGATGGACCTCTGGTGCGCCGGCCACGACATATTTATGTCGTTGTTGACTGACCCTGGAAGACACAAAGAAATTGTCAAAATCTGGTCATTTAGGCCTGGTTTAGACAGCGGTAATAGCGCGGTTTCTGTGCAGTTGTCGTACGTTTGCATCGAACGTAACCGCAAGGTTACTTTAGTGTTTCGCTAAGAACCAACCAGAAACCGCGTGGTTATTGCTTATGAACCAGGCCTTAGTCTCCACTACAGAAGCACCCTAATTTACAGAATAAGTTTTCATGATCATCAGGTCATTTAGTTTCTACTACAGGAGCAACATCGTCCCCTTACAGAGGTAAATGGAGCATTTGCCAGACGGCTTGGGTTCTATTCTAATCTGCTATTTTCTACNTTTTCTACGTGGTTCCGCGTAAAAAATAACAATATACATTGCACAACATTAATTTAAATTACGCTTATAAAAGTGGGTAGTTGGAGATGCTATGTTACGTGGCATGTCTTTCAGCAAAAATTTTAAACCAAGCAAAAATATTAATTTTGAGTAAGAAGAATAAAGTTTACAATGAATCAAAACAAATAACTACCTATCGAATTATTGTGACAATTTAACTTTTCAACCGTTTGGCCAAACAATTAAGAGGACTGTAAAATATTGGAATTATCATAGCTCCACACATCATTTTGACTAGGAACCGAACTCGAAATATTTAATTGCGGGACTATTCCCACCTCTCGTTTCCCACGCTGCAAATCCTGTGTAGCCAGGATCTACAGCCTGACTGTCAATAAAAACCCAACCAGTGAAGGTCAGGTTATATTTTATACCTTATTGAAAACAATTTTATTAAGACTAACTCACCGTCCATTGGGAAAGTCATATCAGGGCCGGCGCGCGTAACCCCCGGGTGTGACTCCTGCACCCACCGCAGAAGATCGTCATAGTGACGCTCCAGAACTGGATCAGGTTCTGGAGCTTGTCTCCTATGACTTCTGTACACTGCCCAGCGTGGCCTGGGCAGTGCTTCTGGCGGTGGAGCCTGGGGGAACCCTTGTCTCGCCCCGGAGGTGGAAGGCTGGGGCGAGCTTGGAGCGCACCTGCAACGAAGGCGGTTGCAGGTGACGCACTCCTCAACCTCCCTCTCATCTAACAGGAACACCAGAAACCTCCGGATATCCTGCAGATTGAGTTCCTGGAAAGAAAACTTGGTTTTAGTTCATGAAATGAAAATCTTTGTTCGATATTAAAGACCAATATTTTATTTTGTAAACGCTGAACGCACTTTGAATCTTTGGTCGAAGATTATTTTGCCAAACATCTACGACCAACGCTGTGACTTTTTGGTACTACCCCCAACTTCTACGATTTTTTATAAATACTATTTTGTTAATAGGTTCTCATAGTAATCGAATTTTGTAATAAAATTCTTAATAAATAAAGGTCTTAAAACAAATATTAAAAGAAAGATTTGATTTTGCTTGAAGAGAATAGGCTCCGAAACTACTGGACTGATTACAAAAATTCTTTCGCTATTAGAATACTAAAAAATCTACTAAACATACGCTATCAATTATTTTCAAAAAAGTCAGTTAAAAAACTTTGAAAATACCGTGCAATCAATAAATTAGGTAGTGCCTCCGCCATTTTCTGAAAGCACGCGCGTCACAAAAATATGGCCGCCGACGTCTGATCACCTCCGCGTCGTTCGAGTGAGAGACGGGCGGTTCAGATTCAGCTGCGCACGCGCCTATCGCTAGGGATGTGGCTAGCGCTAGGATAGGTATAATGCGTAGCACGAACACAGGATTACGTTTAGAAATTAAATAATGTTGCGATTTAGATATAAATTTATGACAACTTTTTAAATTAATGTTTGGATTTTAGAGATAAAATAAGACAACATTTTAGAAGAACTAGAAGTTCGCTGTGACAGCTTGTGTCTAATACCTACTACTATCCGTTCGCTTTCAGTTTGCATCTGGCGAAATGACGTCACTCGAAGGGAAGCGTCTATAGCAAACTATATTTAAAATATTTTTTATTTATTAATATTGATAAAAATTGTGTATTTGCGTAAAATAAGACACATTAATTGCGTTTAATCGCGGTTGGGGGAGGGTACGCGCAATCCACGGACCGGCAAACTTAGCGCGAACGGGTAATAATCATTTAAGCTTAATCGATTTCATCATTTAAGTTAAAGTACCTAGTGCTAGTTACCTAGTGTTAGTGTAATATCTAGCTTTTGCCTGCGGCTTCCCTGTGTGGATTTTATAAGTAGTTTACTGGCTGTTCCGGCCATAAAAATGTCGTATCTATAAAATCGCAATATTAATTTCTGAACGTATTCTGTTTACCTGGCTTGGCGAAATTTGGAAATTTAATGTAAGTATGACGGAAAATGTCAGTTGCGCAAAATAATGTTACGCAGAAAATTATTTAAACTGGTGAATTTTTCTTTTTCAAATCGGTCTCGTAGTTTAGGAGCCTATTCCCTCCAAAAAAAATATATTAGTATATCTAGATAACTTTAAAATTATTTCAGCTAAACATCCAATAACTTTAAAATTGTGTGACCTAAAAAATATATTTGAAGCTATCTTTGAAATTTTTAATATGTAAGGAGGTAGGTATCGGCACAGAATAATATGAAGCTGTTGGTAAATAATAATAATAATAAATAAATAAAATGTTTATTGCCTTTATTGCCAATAAATCTTAATACAAAATATTCTTATAACTAGCGGCTTCTGCATTAAGCATAGCTTATGTCGCAGTAGCCTTTTTAAGTTTTTACATAAATATTGATACACACACAGAACACAAATTCAGGCAATTTATTACTGTAGTTAAATTAACCCTTAACCACTGACGTACGTACGTGGTACGTCGGTCAAACGGTTTTTCGTTCAAAACTTCATTGTGTGCGGGAATTTTTGCGTGTCCTTTTTGGTAGTTTCCTAGTGGCCAGAGATGCGTGTGCGCCGGGAAAANCCTGTCTCCTATGACTTCTGTACACTGCCCAGCGTGGCCTGGGCAGTGCTTCTGGCGGTGGAGCCTGGGGGAACCCTTGTCTCGCCCCGGAGGTGGAAGGCTGGGGCGAGCTTGGAGGGCACCTGCAACGAAGGCGGTTGCAGGTGACGCACTCCTCAACCTCCCTCTCATCTAACAGGAATACCAGGAACCTCCGGATATCCTGCAGATTGAGTTCCTGGAAAGAAAACTTGGTTTGAGTTCATGAAATGAAAATCTTTGTTCGATATTAAAGACCAATATTTTATCTTGTAAACGCTGAACGCACTTTGAATCTATCGGTCGAAGATTATTTTGCCAAACATCTACGCCGGACGCTGTGACTTACTACCCCCAACTTCTACGATTTTCTATAAACAATTAATTTGTTCTCATAGCGAATTTTGTAATAATTCTTAATGAGAATAAAGGTCTTAAAACATATTAAAAGAAAGATTTGACTACTTGTTTGCATGAAGAGAATAGGCTCCGAAACTACTGGACTGATTAGAAAAAATTTTTCGCTATTGGAATACTAAAAAATCTACTAAACATAGGCTATCAATTATTTTCAAAAAAGTCAGTTAAAAAACTTTGAAAATACCGTGCAATCAATAAATTAGGTAGTGCCTCTGCCATTTTCTGAAAGCACGCACGTCACAAAAATATGGCCGCCGACGTCTGATCACCTCCGCGTCGTTCGAGTGAGAGACGGACGGTTAAGATTCAGCTGCGCGCGCGCCTATCGCTAGGGATGTGGCCAGTGCTAGGATTACGTTTAGAAATTAAATAATGTAGCGATTTAGATATAAATTTATGACAACTTTTTTTAATTAATGTTTGGATTTTAGAGATAAAATAAGACAACATTTTAGAAGAACTAGAAGTTCGCTGTGACAGCTTGTGTCTAATACCTACTACTATCTGTTCGCTTTCAGTTTGCATCTGGCGAAATGACGTCACTCGAAGGGAAGCGTCTATAGCAAACTATATTTAAAATATTTTTTATTTATTAATATTGATAAAAATTGTGTATTTGCGTAAAATAAGACACATTAATTGCGTTTCATCACAAACAAATTGCGTTTAATCGCGGTTGGGGGAGGGGACGCGCAATCCACGGACCGGCAAACTTAGCGCGAACGGGTAGTAATCATTTGAGCTTAATCGATTTCATCATTTAAGTTACAGTACCTAGTGCTAATTACCTAGTATTAGTGTAATATCTAGCTTTTCCCTGCGGCTTCCCTGTGTGGATTTTATAAGTGTAGTTTACTGACTGTTCCGGCCATAGAAATGTCTTATCTATAAAATCGCAATATTAATTTCTGAACGTATCCTGTTTGATAATACCTGGCGGCGAAATCCGGTAAATTTATGAAGTGTCAGTTGCGGAAAATAATGTTACGCAGAAAATTATTTAAACTGGTGAATTTTTGTTTTTCAAATCGGTCTCGTAGTTTCGGAGCATATTCCCCCCCAAAAAAAAGCAATCAAATCTTTCCTCTGTATATTAGTATACCTAGATAACTATAAAATGATTTACAGCTAAACATCCAATATCTTGTAAAACCATGTAAAAGCAAATAAATATTTCTGATTCTGATTCTGATTCTGAACTTTAAAATTGTTTGACCTAAAAATCTACATATTTGAAGCTATCTTTGAAATATGGAAGGAGGTAGGTATCGGCACAGAATAATATGAAGCTGTTGGTAAATAATAATAATAAATAAATAAAATGTTTATTTATTGCTAATAAATCTTAATACAAAATATTCTTATAACTAGCGGCTTCTGCACTAAGCATAGCTTGTGTCGCAGTAGCCTTTTTAAGTTTTTACATAAATATTGATATCTTTACTTTGAGGTCTGGGAACACAAATTCAGGCAATTTATTACTGTAGTTAAATTAAGATATAAAAATATGAAACGTGGTCTCAAAAAATAGTAACAAGGCTTAGAATGAGGTCAATGTTTATCAAATTAACTCTATTAAAGACTGACAGTTAAAATTACAATTGCAATTAAAATTGAAATCGAACCCAAAAGTATAAAAAAAAACATATTTTCCACTCAAGAAAACCAACCGACTAATTTTTTTTTAATAAATTTTAAATAAAAACACAAGAATCTAAACAATATCCTTAAAGATTTTTGAACATAAAACTTGCATTTTTAACCGATTTCAAATTATTTTAAACAGTTATTTGTCTGCATTTCTGCAAACTGTTTTTAATATCTTTTAAAATTAAAATACTTACGGTTTGGAAGTCAGGGTCGCTGAAGAAACGGCGAAGGTTGTTCAATCTTCTCGCCATTTTCCGCACAAGTTCACAAAACGAGATAAGATAAAACAAAAATAAAAAATACAAAAATATTAAAATACAGATGTTACAAAAATATAAAATACCAAAAGAAATGAAACAACAATATGTATAGAATACAAAAATTACAAAATACAGGAGTTACAAAGAGATATAAAATGCAAAACTAGATAGAGTAAAACAAAAATCACAAAAATATAAAATACACAAAATACAAAAATATAAAACAGAAGTTACAAAGATAGGTATAAAATGTTAAACGAGATAAAATAAAACAAAAATACAAAATTACGAAAATATAAAATACAAAAGTTACAAAATATAGAATAAACTAAGGTTGAATCACGAGGTGTCCTCCTTGGACGAAAGACCCTTTGAGATTAAACTCCCTAGCTTCGTTGCTGAGCAAGAAACCTGCGCCCGCGCACTTTCGGCCAAAAAAAGTGCTTTGTAAGACTCGTTTACCGTAATTAACCAGCCCTTTGTTGGGTCACAGTGGGGTTTTCCATCGACAAATAACACGTTTGCTAATGTCGACCATTATTGTAATGAATTGTTTAACGAAACTTGGGTATTTGCAGAGAAATTAACAATAATTAGCTATCTTGAACAAACATTTTGTACGATCACTAGTTCGTAGCAGGAAATGTCGTATTAGGTATTCAAGTTTTGATCTATCGTTTTGATACATTTTTAATCATGAGAAAAAGTAAAAAAGTGTAGGAAACATTAATATTTGAACACTAGCGGATGCCTGCGACTTTGTACGCGTAGATCCCGTTTTACCCCCTTGGGGATTGAATTTTGACAAATCCCGTTTTAGTGAGCACCTACGTTCTAAAAGGAACCCCCATGCAAAATTTGAGACTCCTAGCACTTGTAGTTTCTAAGATTTCGTGATGAGTGAGTCAGTCAGTGATTGGAACCACCTTTTAATAAAATATTTGAATCTTTGCCGGAACTGCATAATATCAATCATCGAATCATTGAATAAGACCATTCCCAATCTTCCCGTAGATGTACTAGGGACAAACATTTGTAAACATCAGGCCTCTCCTGTCCGTCTGGCTTAATGGAGACTGAATGACCTGATGGTGATTAGGTAGATTTCATATGGTGCTGATCTGATATATGACTTGTTCATGATACTCAAGTGTGCTAAAAATAAAATTCTCAGTGTTAAAATTAACGTGATTGAAGTCACGATTAATTACGTGCGGTAGGATGAAACTCGTTTGACAGCTTGTCAGTTAATTATTTAAGTTTCGCAATTTGAGCAAGCTGTATGTGCGTCAATCTAGCGCCTTTTTGGTCTTTGTAGCAAATTCATTAGCGTAAAACATGATATAATTTGAAGATTGTTTTACTTAATAACAGGTAGGTATGTCATAATGTTTAGGTATACTTACACTAAAGCCATAACGATAAGATGTCATATTAAATTATCGTACCTTAACTTCAATCACCCTTACCATTGAACCGACTTTTTTATCGAGAAGAAATAGGTACCTTTGGTTCCCTTCTACGGAGGACATAGGTAACATGCGCTTTGTCACATAGCCACAGAATACATAAACGTAGCTTCAATTTAGGTATGGTTTTGCATTTACCCACGGCTCAATGTGAAGCCATCGATTAGATTGAGCCATGTCAAAAGACTACCGTAGTTAATGAAACGGCAATATTGTGGCAATTCAAATAGGGTAAACCACCCAATTATTGGCACTTTAAGCAGCTACTTCACAAAACCGGTAAAATTTACATGTAAAAATATGTTTTATCAAAGATAAAAACATTTATATTGGTCTTTTAATCTTTGCAGAATATTATAAAGTACTTATCATTAATAAATTAAATCATTTATTCAATATAGTGTACCTTTTAAAAAAATACCTCAAAATACCAGTTGTTGGCATAGCCAAACCTTTTATTGGCAATGATAATTACCTATTATTGGCACTGTTCTTGCAAGACTGAAAAATAGCTGCTAGGTCTTATGTAGAGGTTTTAAAGAGATTCATTATAGAAATAAACAAAATAAAATCCTTTGTTTAAAGAAAAGTAACATTTTTTTTGTTTAGGAACATACCATATCAGTTCAAACGCTTATATTTAAATATGGTTTTAAACTTTCCATAAACGCTTTTATCAAATCTTCTTTTCTCTTCGGAAATCCTTTTTTGCTACTGATTTTTATTTTATCCAGTCAACAAAAAGCTGTTCTTCCTCGTCAGTTAAAACTGTGAACGGACCGGTCTTAGAGCGATGATCAGGATGTTTCAATCTGAATTATATTAGACCGTGGCACCACTTTCAAAGCCTTTCACAGGCTTATTCCACTAATCCCCGTCAACGGGGATTAGTGAACTTTTTATTCATTAATCCCCGCTAACGTCAATGGTGATGGGTTTGGCCAAAATAAACTAGATTTATTTAGTATTATCAGAGATTTATTTCGGTAATTAAAACACAGGTTACACAGCGCAACAACCATCGAGAGCGGAAGAGACAAACAGGAAGTTGAATTGTCACTAACAAACGTCACTGTCAAACACTTTTGCGTTTAGTTTGTGTTTACAATCTAACACTGGCCCTTAAACACAAATTAAAAACATTAAACAATGTTAACTTAGGCTTNGTCGATGGAGCTGCTTGTTTATCTCTAAAAAGTAATGAAATCTAGACAAAGTCGTGCCAAGTCTATGGTTCCTTACCTACTGCGATTTCTTTATTATTATACATAGTTAATGTTGTGTGACTTGGCCATCGCACTAAATAATTTAATTTACACGTGTTTTCATGCGATGGCCANTGGGCCACCCCTAAGCCGCCTATTTAGTTTTATACACACATAAATGACCTCATATTAATCACATTTACCAAATCATGCGGTAATTATTCATAATAACCGGCGATTATTCATAATTTTCACATTTATCACTTTGACCGTAACATATATATAAAAAACCTTATTTACGTCAAAAATTATTACAAATGACGAAGAAATTAGCAAAAAATCCGGTGGATGAAAATTTTTATATTAGTTGCGGTTTTGGAAGACAATCATCATGATGGTGAAGGAGCTTTAGTTCGTGGCTTTGGATTTGACTACTTCTGAAGATTGTATACCATATTTTCAAATTTCCTTGCTAGTTTGAAGCACGGCAAACTGGTGACCAGGTCATCAAACAAAGAAAGACTATAGAAAATAGCCTTCCTAAATGAACTGTATTAAAAAGTGACTTAATTTCTGAATTATTGCTATTGTGATTTTTTCCTGATTAAAACTGTTATTAATCTTTAATATGGCCAAAATAGAAGTTCCTAGTGTTATCGAATATTTTTGTGTTGATTTTTAAAAAATGCCTGTCTAACTTTTATTACATCTTGAGGATTTCACCAATATCATACTATTCTATTAATGTTACTATGTTTTTTTTTCTATCTCTGTTTAATATAAATATGTGTAAATAATTTTAATAAAGTTACTCTCTTTTGATACATCAGGAGGTCTTCAAAGTTCCGTACGTATGGCGTACGTACGTCAGTGTTAGTGTAACAAAATGACACGTCAGTGGTTAAGGGTTAAGATATAAAAATATGAAACGTGGTCTCAAAAAATAGTAACAAGGCTTAGAATGAGGTCAATGTTTATCAAATTAACTCTATTAAAGACTGACAGTTAAAATTACAATTGCAATTAAAATTGAAATCGAACCCAAAAGTATAAAAAAAAAACATATTTTCCACTCAAGAAAACCAACTGATTAATTTTCTTTAAATAAATTTTAAATAAAAAAACACAAGAATCTAAACAATATCCTTAAAGATTTTTGAACATAAAACTTGCATTTTTGACGGATTTCAAATTATTTTAAACAGTAATTTGTCTACATTTTCAGCAAACTGTTGTTAAATATCTTTTAAAAATATACTTACGGTTTGGAAGTCAGGGTCGCTGAAGAAACGGCGAAGGTTGTTCAATCTTCTCGCCATTTTCCGCACAAGTTCACAAAACGAGATAAGATAAAACAAAAATATAAAATACAAAAATTACAAAAATATTAAAATACAGATGTTACAAAAATATAAAATGCCAAAAGAAATGAAACAACAATATGTATAAAATACAAAAAATACAAAACACAGGAGTTACAAATAGATATAAAATGCCAAACGAGATAGAATAAAACAAAAATCACAAAAATATAAAATATACAAAATACAAAAATATAAAACAGAAGTTACAAAGATATAAAATGTTAAACGAGATAAAATAAAACAAAAATACAAGAATATAAAATACAAAAGTTACAAAATATACAATAAACTAAGGTTGAATCACGAGGTGTCCTCCTTGGACGAAAGACCCTTTGAGATTAAACTCCCTAGCTTCGTTGCTGAGCAAGAAACCTGCGCCCGCGCACTTACGGCCAAAAAAAGTGCTTTGTAAGACTCGTTTACCGTAATTAACCAGCCCTTTGTTGGGTCACAGTGGGGTTTTCCATCGACAAATAACACGTTTGCTAATGTCGACCATTATTGTAATGAATTGTTTAACGAAACTTGGGTATTTGCACAGAAATTAACAATAATTAGCTATCTTGAACAAATATTTTTTACGATCACTAGTTCGTAGCAGGAAATGTCGTTTTAGGTATTCAAGTTTTGATCTATCGTTTTGATACATTTTTAATCATGAGAAAAAGTAAAAAAGTGTAGGAAACATTAATATTTGAACACTAGCGGATGCCTGCGAATTTGTACGCGTAGATCCTGTTTTACCCCCTTGGGGATTGAATTTTGACAAATCCCGTCTTAGTGAGCACCTACGTTCTAAAAGGAACCCCCATGCAAAATTTGAGACTCCTAGCACTTATAGTTTCTAAGATTTCATGATGAGTGAGTCAGTCAGTGATTGGAACCACCTTTTAATAAAATATTTGATCTTTGCCAGAACTGCATAATATCTATCATCGAATCAATGAATAAGACCATTCCCAATCTTCCCGTAGCTTAGGTATACTAGGGACAAACATTTGTAAACATCAGGCCTCTCCTGCCCGTCTGGCTAGCATGGAAAGTTTTTAGGCTTATAAGTTTCAGGCTTAATGGAGACTGAATGACCTGATGGTGATTAAGTAGATTTCATATGGTGCTGATCTGATATATGACTTGTTCATGATACTCAAGTGT